CTCACACGACCGATGTCGGACGATGTGGGCAGTAGCATTCAAACATGTTACCGTAGCAGAGCTATGATTTCTGGCTGGCTCTACCCGGAGGTATATCACGGTCTCACTGAAAACGGGGTCGTGTGGGAGCCCAAACCCTCTTCGCCCCTCCTAAATTGCAGGATGCGAATATGTGAATATATTAGAGTAAAGTATAATAATAAACCTCCTTTCTAAGGAGAGGCCTATGTCCAGCAGTGGACTAGTATAGGCTGTTGATGATGAAGTATAATAGTCATCAACTGGTATCTTAGCGTATTTATAATATAGATACCTTCCGACTCCAAGTCCGTATACTGAATTTTTGTAATATCAATTAAAATTAATGATATGTTGATTTCTTTGAGAATAGTGAATATTAATTTTTACTTAATTTAAGTAATTAATTTAACTTAATTTAAGTAATCTCTGAATACTAGTTTTTATTTTAACTGATAATATGAATATTTTGCGAAGTGTACGTTACGAACAAAGATAAAATATGTTTTCTGATTTGTTTTAATTATAACTAACTTATAAATTAAAACTGACGGCTTAGAAAGGGAGGTCTTGTTCACAGCGCTACATTCAATGAACATAAAAAGGAGAGTTCAAAAGCTTGTTCCATCGCATATTCAGTTTCAAAAGATAGTAGATACCTAATGTTTTCCTTAACTTATTTAGTTATAACTGTGCGCATTCACCATTACGAAAGTGAAATAAATTAACACTAGTAGTAATCAGAAGTCGATGTAGACACATTGACGTCATAAAGTATTGAACTTGCGCATAAATTTTGCATAGCGTCGTATAAGAGATATATGTAAAGAAATAGGCGCATTTTCGTCAGGTGTGGTTTTACATTTGACGTCACTGACATCTTAAATTCTACGTAGTTAGTAAGTCTAAGTCTAAGGTTTTTTTGGCATAAATAATTAATTTTTCCACGTATGTATTAGTTGTTATTCATTCCCATTATCTATTTAGAATGCTAATATATCAGTACTTATAGATTCTACTTAATGATGTATGCTTTTAAAATAAAAAGCTTTACCAAAAGATTAAACCTTACATTATTTTACTATTTCTTTAGTTGTTAAGGTCCTAATACAAGTTGTCAGGTTTGGGGTCGATGATCTTTATTCCATGCAAATAAATGTATTTGTTTTCTGTCTGGGTGCACTATGAGTCCTTTACGTACCTACTACGGTCTTCAAATACTACACTTGTTGAAAAATGGAAAAACTTCTCTTAATTTTTTACTCTTTGATTCTTATCAAAGAACGGTTAAAAACTGAGTTTGATGTAAGAGTTATTGTTATGTTGTTACATAAATGAACGATTTATAAGTGATAGTGCCAACATCAATTTGCAATAAATCGTCTGAAAGTAACCCACTAAGAAAATCAGATACTTCCTTGATAAATGACCGGAATTATATATAGAGCCAATAACAGTTTTTTATTACTTCAACCTTTAAACGCTAACGAATATATTTATACACACATATTGTGTACATGAATGTAGTGTGTCACTGAACCCGTCCTAAACCAATGGTACGACTTTGATAATTAATTTTGTAAGTGGTTTTGATTTACATTCGTGTTATATTTTACGCGGTTCTTATTTCACTTTTAAGCGAAGCTGTTTTGGGTATTTTGAGTGGGTTTTTCTTAGATACATGATTGGACATGGTATGTAGCGCTGCAAACGAGTTCACTCTGATATCCGTGTACTTAATATAGTAAAATGTAGAAAATATATATGTTTGTATACATACATTATTATAGCTTGTATGTTGAGGCAGGACAATGTCATTCAACTCTATTAGTGTATACACTTAGATGAATAGCTATATCAAGTGCGTGATGTGATGAGAATAATGGTTTAGTTAACGATTCTCAGGAAATATGAGACGACATATAAGACACAATCGCGGTCGTGGCGTTATTTCAAATCAGTTCAGACATAGAATTCTTTTTTAAAACAGCTCAAAGAGTAGGCAATTCTCATCCAGAACAAAAAGAAAAAAAAGGTTCGGTGTTGCTTTATTTAAAAAATCTAATAGGACTCTTCCATCATCAGCAAAATCGTTTCTAGTAAAGTGCATTTCTGTCTATGCCATAATATTTTAGGAACTTACGTAAATACGTATTTTTTGATTAAATGCTGTCTGTTGTTACTAACACACTACTTGCTTCACACAATACCTATTACCAAGAGAAATAATTTAAAAACAATTTCAAAGTTACCCGCTGATTTTGAAAAACGTTATAAATATGCAATTCGATCCATTATCTGTAAGCTGCTCTATTTTCCTGTGACGTACAATTACCTGTCTGTCACATTATACATATTGACGTCGACTGCTTGTAAGCACACATTACATACACATTAAAACGTTATCTTTTTCTAATAGGGAATAGATAACGCTTAAAGTTCAGTGATTAAAAAAAAACCTTATAATCACTTTTATTTTATATAGGATTCTGCTTTGACAAAGCTGGTTCCCGATGTACTTTTGGTTAATAGAAAGTCATGATTGCAAAAACAATCAGCATCACCGCACACAAAATCGATTGTCAACATGCAATTGACGTCACTACGCATTTAGACATGGCGCGTTTTTATTTACTTAAACGAATATGAAAATTCATGTTATTTTTAATGAAAATAATCAAATGTATGAAAACAACTTAGTCTGTAGATAGATTACAGTCAACCGTTAAGAAAAATCCAAACACGGTATCTGTTTGGATTTTTCTTAGCGGTAACCCCGTTAATATTATGATGTCACGGTACTCTCTGCTGTTGTGGTAGCTCTGTTCACACACTCCACGCTATTGTTACCTGCCTGTAGTGAATTCTAGTGAATCTTCTCACATGGCATAACATCTTATTATCAATTGTCTTCAATATAACCGTCCTAGAGTCCTTCCAAGTATTGAAGGCAGTCGCCATCGCGCCTGTTCGAGACTTATCATGTCAATTTTATCACGGACTTTATGACCGACTGATTCATTAAGGCAGACCCTCATCTGCTGAAACTACAGACTTGAAATTTTGGCAGGTGATGCTTTTTATGTTGTAGCACTACCTAAGAAATTACTTATGTAAATGTCATTCCTAAGGGGATAAAATAATGCATAAACGGTTGTCTGACAATCGTCAATTTCAAAGTTAGAAACACGAAATAAACCCGCGAGCGAAGCCGTTGGCTAAACGTACTAAAGACAGTTCTAGTATGTTTTGATAGTTATTAACGAAAAAAACCTTTTTCGTTTCTACACAGGTTGGCACTGCTGGACTAATTAGCATAGTACATGTATGTACATGTAGGACTCATGAATCTCATTAGATTCCGTAATTAGTGTGAAATTAAATAAAGCGTCACGTCACGCATGACGTAGTTTTTAATTAAGTAAATAGTATCTACTTATCGTTTTATTCTGTTTTTGATTCTGACGCCATTTTTATCTCTATTATTTATATAAACAGTTGGCATATGAAAGAAAAATGTAGGTGCCATTGTATTTAGTTTTTACTTGAAGAAATATATAAATATACACCTGTTGTATGAAACAAAGTAAACTAAACTAAAAGATACAAATTATAAAAATAATGGCTATTTAATATTTATCTATTATGGTAGACATTTAATTCAATTGCGAATTCGAGATTACATAGTTAGATAATTTGACGCAAGCGACCACCCAAGATGTTTACAAGTAGTAAGTTATACAAGTCTTATTGTTATTTAAATTATTTATGATGTGACCTTTTTTCATTATGTAGCCATCCTAAAGTACTTTATCAATGTTTTTTGTTACCATTCCATTAAATTTAATTTAGTTACATATTGAATGTTTTTTTTATCATGTTTAAAGTTTTTGAACTTGTTTTTAAAAGAAGAAGATTATATAAAAAAATAATTAAGTTTAAAAATGTATCACCAACTTCAATGAGCCCACGTTACGATCATTAGTAACTAAATATGTTTTTTTCTAATTTAAATGTGAGCAAAGGGAAGTTCTGAAGTTCTAAGGTAACAAACATTTAAAAAGATACAACAGAGTTCTCAACCTCCCCTTTAATTTGATGTCTGTTAACAAAAAACAATTGATGTGAACAAAATTTCTAGAACATTTTATCTCTCTAGCGTCAGTGATGCCGAAATCACGAGACTGTTAATTGAAAAGTATCCAAACTCTTGAACATCCTACACAAGAAATTATTTACGACCAGATTAAAAAAAAATCTTTTAGTCTGACCTTATTCATTGGTTCCGTTATCATAGTTTTAAACGATAGTTTCGAAACCGTTGACAAATAAGAACTCAAGAACTGTAGATATTGCTGCTATTACCTTGCAATGTTTAGAAACATGACGCGCTCTCTAGGGCATGGTAGCTTCTAAGATAATAGTTTAATGTAGTCATGGCAACATACAATGTACTATTTTTATTTTTATTTGCACTCATCGGGACTGAATCACGCGACAGTCTGCGACACTACTACTTACATAAGGTGAACGGTAACTAACTCCAATGTTTTGTTGGTAACGTGACACAAGCAATTGCAACGCTGCCAAAAATGACGACGGCTCTTGCAGTCTCAATATTACACAACCGAATACTATCTTTTGAAAATATCAATTTTGTTACTTTAAATTATAATCTTTTCTAAAAGAATTTATTGTAGCAAAGGCCCACCACACTATGCACTAGATACATTTCTGTCCTTTCAATTTCTTTCTAGAGATTAAAAAGTAAATATTTAGATAGACCTAACCTAATAACCTGATAACCTAACCTAACTAGATTCAGAACTGTTATGGTTTTGTTTATGTGCATTTGCACAATGCGGGTACCTTAACTTTTGGAGCGCCAAAAAAACTGATAATCCAGGATAGCCATTTATCAAACTTCTTTAAATAAATATTTTATCTCTTGTCATAAAATAATGATTTTTATCTTGTTACAGATATTGCAGTAACTACAGGAAATCAACTTGAATTTTATAGCAATAACACTAAGACGTATAGTGAAGGCGTGCAGTTCAAAGATCTTACAGCTTTAGCATATGATGCTGTACATAACATGTTGTTGTTTGCCGACAAACAAAACGACAATGCATCTATATTCAGTTATTATTTAGCAACTAAGAAAAACCAAGCCTTAGTTAGAAGAAGATCGTATGAAAACATTCATGGACTAGCTTTCGATTCAGTTAAAGGAATGCTCTTCTGGACTGATACGATCGACCGGAGTATTTACTGGATTTCTATGAAACCCGGGTCGACTAACGATCTATATGGAAACCTTTTAATCACGATGGACGATGAAATCCCACGGGCCATTGCCGTAGACAGTTGTAGAGGGTACGTTACTAAAATCATCAACAGATTACGAGACCTAATACAATATTTTCTATTTAATTAAAATAATTTACACATTACAGGTACATCTATTGGACCAACACTAATATTATGAAGCCTACTATTGAGAGAGCTCGCTTTAATGGAACCGAAAGAGAAGTACTTATAGACAGCGATATCTACATGCCGGTCAGCATCGCGATAGACCAGATGACTAAGAAAATATATTGGGCTGACGACAAAGAAGGCATACATTATTCAATAGAAAGCGCAGACTTGGATGGAAAAAATAGAAAGACTTTATTGGTTGGCACAAACCATCGACCAACCGCTCTGACCATTTCAAAAGATTCCGTATACTGGGTAGATTTAGACTATAGAACCATCTGGAGGTTGCCAAAGAATCCTCCCAAAGATGCTGAGCCGATAAAATACATAGAGTTTACTAACAAAATGCCCTTTGGTATAGCCGCAAACTATCCCATTCAGGAGCAAATCAGTGGTCACGGCGAGTGTGAAGATCTAGCGAATCTATCGCAAAACAATTCTGCTATTAACGATTCGTTCAACGTCCCAACTGATGTTGGTTTATTCTGCGTCCACGGAACCAAAGTGAACGGAAGATCAATATGTAAATGCAAACCTGGCTACACCGGTGAGAGATGCGATATTTCAGTCTGTCAGAACTATTGTTTGCAAGGAGACTGTAGTTTTACAACAGAAGGTCAACCCAAATGCAGGTAAAATTATTACAATACCTTCACTTAATATTGCGTTATTGCATTTGCAATTCAATGATTTGTTATGTTTGAATTTTCCAGGTGTAAAACTGGGTTTTCCGGAACACGATGTGAAATTGATGTGTGCCAAGGCCATTGTTTGAACCATGGTACGTGTTCATTGGATAATACTAGTCAACCAGTTTGTCAATGTATAGGAGATTATGAGGGTTCACGATGTGAAAAACTGAAAATAGTTACAACAACCACGGAAACTATAACAACAATAGCTTCACCCGAATCTGCCGTCCCTGCTTGCAAGTGAGTATTAAAATTTACAGCGAATTTTTATTACAATGTTCAACCTTAAATGGATCTTATACAACTAGTATTAAAATGTTAATCGTCAACCATAGTTTTTCATCTCATTGAATAAGAGTGACTAATAAGAATGTTTTTCCTATCATTTCAGTTGTACTTTTAAACAAAAAGAACCAGAGCCATTACCTAAACAGTTAGAGGATCAGGAAGTTCTAAATAATTCTCGACCTTTGCCCTCCCCATCGAACTCTGTATCGCAAATGGTTGATGAAATAATTCCCACTTGCGATGGTGGATGGGATTCTGTTAAGGATTCTATGATATTGGCTTTATCTATCCTCGTCGGAGTACTATTCCTACTCTGTGTTTATCTCCTAACCAAGATACTTCAGTTGAAGAAACGCCCTAGGTATGTAATGCCTTATATCTGAATATTATAATAAATAAATTATATATCTGTAGTATTTCATGTAAGTTTATCATCATGATCAGCAGTCTTGTACAGCAAGTACAGGTTCTGTCTGGTTTCTAATCACACAGCCGTGTGTAAGGGGTATCAAGTTTTTTTTCTTTATGTATTCAAATATAAAAATAATTTTATTTTCCTCCGTAAACGTATAATTGCACAATGTTCGGTTCAAAAGTTAAGACTAAGACTAGGCTAAGAAAAATAACAACAAACAAACTTATTTTACTAACTATAATATTGTTTGTGGATGAGCATTAAGTTTATAAAAACAGATCATAATCATATCTTAATAAATAAAGAATCAGACTTCGTAATGATGATATATTGTCTGTGCGGAATTCATATGTTAATTGTATGTCTTTTATTGTATTCCAGGATAAAGAAGCGTATAATAGTTAACAAGAATGTAACACCGATGACCGCTCGTCCTGACCAGTGCGAGATTACAATTGAAAACTGTTGCAACATGAACATTTGTGAAACTGTAAGTTTTAATTTAAAACATAATGCATCCTACAAAGGGAACAACTCAACAATCACTATGCTCAATATTGTAGGATGCAACATTCCACTATATTTTCAATTTCTGGGTTAGATGTTGATATAGGACTGTATGGTATAGAAAAAAACTTTAGTCGTATTGTAAATATTAGTCGGGTATATCGTTTAGAATTTATTGCACTGACTAAATGCTATCAATTAGTCAAATTCGCACCGTTTTGTTCACACGACTGTTTCGCATGTATGTACATATCTATATAATAGTTATATTGATACATACATTCGAAACAAATGCAAACAAACGATGGTAGTTCCAACAGTCTGATGAGGTTTACACGTATTTGTTTCTGGATAAATACAGCAGAAATCGAAGAATACGAGAACATGTATAGTTATTCTGAGATTGAAATACCAGGGCCTCAATTCTGCTATTTTATGTTTACGCCAAGCCAGTGTCATACCACTGACACGCTATTGAGATGCCATCGAGTAGCCATTGGCATCGGTATAAATATCGGTAGTTGAAAATATATTACGCTTTTTGAGGAAATTATTTTTTATTTTTATTTTTTTATTTTAATAATTTATTTAGTTCTTTTTTTATAATTTTTATATTTTATTCTTTAATAATTTATTTTATGTAATAATTAATTATATGTATGACACTGGCTTGGCGTAATAGCAGAATTGAGGCCCAGTTAATTTGTATGTTTATATCTGTTAGGATTTCATTTTGACCTTTCGCCGATGGTCTCGTGGTCAGGACGCTGATGGTCTCGCCTACTAGCATCGTTTCTAAATAATATTTGGATAGGGATTCAAACAGTCGGTTACTGACAACATTATATAGATATATCGTATCTAATTATTTTATAAATAAATACCCGAACTCTTAAGAATCACTAGGTACATACGAACTGAGTATAATGAGACAATACGGACACAAAGTATGTTCAAATTCAAAACCTTGGGAGGGTCAAACTAACAATCGATGTATTATCAGAGCGCCACTTCCACCATTCAAAAGAGAATGAAAAAACATGTTATTTTGTGACTCACATTTGGACCCTGCTAAGCAAAAAGATTCCACACCCTAGTAACGTATCAGGTGTTTTTACTTTAAGAAAAACGTTCTAGTAAATATTAAATATGCAGTAACTTTAACCTTTATCTCATAGTTAAGTTCGTATATTTTTTGCTCTAATAACAAATTTGTGAACATTATCATTACTAAGAGATCAAAATATTTTGGTAATTATTTTCCAAAGAAAGTTGGTTGGATCTTTTCTCCTCAACAGGGTCCAATTTATAGTCAAAGCATACTTAGTTTAGAAGTAAAATAAACAACAAAACAAATGACAGTCGCGTGAGTCGAATTTTAAATGAACGATGTTTGTTATACATCCATTGTCAACTCGCACGTACTATATTTTTGTTTATGTTGCTTACACCTGGTATAGCTATACAATTGAAAACACAGGTTTGAGTCATAAGAAATCAGTTTTATTTTGAACTATAGACGTGAATTGAAGGCAACGAGATTTAGACAGGTTAAGGTTTTCCTTCTTTTAAAAAAATATTTTAAATACCGAATGTGGGTAGGTCATTGTAATAGGTTCTTTTAATGTAAATAGGTTGTTAGTTGTCACAGTTTAGAATTAATAGACTTCTGTCGTGTTTATGGTTAACCAAAATTGCATGTTGAATGTGTGAGTAACGTTTTTAATGTGAATGCAACTAGTTTTTGTTTATTTAATCTTAAATCTTGGCACCAATCGTAACATAATTTTTTTTTTCTTTATGTAAAGACTTCAGACCAGACTTCTAGGTGCTATGATAATAGAAATATCATAGACACATACCTATATTAATTAAATTAGATACTAAATAATTTCTTAATGTGAAATGTTTTTTATTATATCTAGTAAAATGTTTTACTACTTTTTGAAAGACATACACTATCAAAAGCTATAACACTGTTAATTGCATATTAACATAGGAATTATTACGTCTGAGGATACATACTGACCAGTAGAAGTCTGAATCGCAGTGTAAAAACTAGAATTAATTAAAATATTAGCAATAAGAAATGATAACGAACACATACACTTTCCACACAGGTTGATAATGCTTGGGCAAGTCAACAGCCATGAGCTTTGATGTAAGATTGCCGTTTTATAAGGTTCACATTTTGTTCTTACATTTAGCTTAGCTTTTGAGGTCACACGCATACTAACTCAAAAAAACTTATTAAATGAAATTAACAATAGATGATTTAATAGTATAATTAACTAATTAATTAAAAGGAACTGAAATGCCTTTCATAAATGAATACTAACATGACCTGAATTATGGCATTAATATAGTTAAATACATACAAGTGTACTATGTGTATATACATTAATATATACATGGTATATGGTAGTATTTGTAATAAAATTATAAAAAAGGAAATGTCAATTTAATATTAAGAGTTTGTACTATTTACCCACAAATTTCATTTGCAACACCTGGACAACATCATACGGATATAACAAAATAAATTGTACTATAGTTTGATTAAACGTATAACAAAAAGAAATGAAAGAAATGAATTTATTCTTTAATTTTTTATTCGATACCGAAATATTTTTGATCCTTTATAATAACACTATCGTTTTGCACGCACGCTTTTGCATGTCACTTCTCTAATTAACGATTTTCCATGATTTTGAATGTTACTAACAATCACAAAGCTTTTGAGCGAATGAATGGATGATTTGTTCTGATATTATTAGTTACTTGTAAAAAGTAGACAACTACACTCAAAATAAGTAAACATATGACCAATTTAAATGATTAAACTAAAATTTATAAGGGTAAAAAATAAGTAGTTTTTCATCATTAATACAGAGGCTGAATTTCCATTTTGATAAAATTTAAAGCATGGTAATATATTAAAATAATATTAAAAAGGGAGGGTATTTTAAAATTACCAATTAAAAAAACACTTTAAATAATTACTTTTGTTACAGCCATGTTTTGAACCGAGAAGTACGATACGGCCGTCGCTGCTAAATTCTAAGCCTGGTAAAGAAGAGAAGAAGAACTTAATCGCGAACATGGAATTACCGGACGACCCGTATTAAATTGACGTATAAAGCTTGTGTGACGTACAATACTTTGAATACACATCTAAGGCACAATATCGTTAAGAAACTATTTGTGAACTAACCTATATTTTGCATTTTAATGTTGTCACATTATAAAAAAAGTATTAGCACTGCCGTAGTCGCCGTTGAATGTAATTCTTTTTTATTACTTTTCACAACGTTTATGTTCCTAAAGACACCTTTTCATTTTATGTAACGTACAAGAAATGCGCTTACTATCCAGCCTAATATGTACTTATTTAAAAATGAATGTTCTTTACAATATTGTGCCAAAGGTTTACATATTGTGATATTTGTTTAAGGAGTGCGATAGGACACGTGTAAACGATTACATTAATCTTTACGACGTCTAAGGGCTGTGTATGATTGCTAAAATCTGAGTGCGAGAGAAACTAGATTTTAGGTGTTATTAATTTATTTGGGCTTTTGGTGAGAGAGCTGGCATATGTTGAATACGTAAACCTTGTTTCACTAAAATTTTCATGCTTTGGTGACAATAATTCTTTAACATTTACATCATGAACAAGGTGCCTTTTAAAACAGTGCTTTAACTTACGATTTATGAAACATATCTATGTACGTTTTCTTATTATTTCAAACACTCCAAAGCGTGTCAACTTTAGTGAAGATTCCATTTTGGTATTTTGAGTCTACCTTTGTTTTTTTTAGCCAGTGGTGCTATTTCTTCTACAAACCTTATCTTTATTTCCTGTTTCGTAGTAAAATTGCGTGTGCCAAAGGGCTTATATTTTGCTCATATGTTTATTTCTTCCTTAAAAATATTTGTAACAAAATTACTTGAACTTTAAAGTGAAATGGTTTCTCGAAATCATGTTGTAGCATTTATAAAAGAATAGTGTACTCTCGTACAGATTTTTGTTAATAATATTAAATTAGGTAAATAATAATGATGTATTGCAACCAAATTTATAAATTAACTATTCATATTGTTATTTAATAATAATTAAATTATTTTTTTAATAACTTTCGACGCGTAATTATATTGATTTAAAAACGCAGCCAGTAAAGTAATTTTTTTTAAATTTCAGTTCTTGTTGTTAATGACCCGATTCCATTTTGTGTTCAATTCATTGTCATCTCAGTAAAGTGTAAATGTTTTGATCCATTATTCTAAAAAAACTGAGGACTAAGTTTAGAGCTTAAATATTGGTGTAGATGGACATAATTATTATGGAGATATTAAAACTACAAGCTGTCCATTGCAAATAAATCATTTATTAGTTATTCGTCCAACATGAGAGGTTGTTTATTTAGTTTGTAAAACGGTTGTGTAAATGTTATTGGACAGCTGCATTATTTGCAACTGTAAACCTTATTATTGAAGCCTTCAATGAAACCAATGAACGTTGCTTCCATATTTTTTATTTAAAGCCTGAGTTTTTTATTCTAGATTTCGAAATATCTGTTTTGAAAAGCAGTGCCTCACTCCCGTCTCGACTTGGCTCAGTACGGATTATCGACTTTCATATTTCTTAATAATTATGGACCGTGCAATGGTATAAAATTATATTTATATCAAAAAAAAATATTATGTAAAGATACATATTCCTAAACGAAGTAATCCGTTTAGAATTTTAGAATAAGATTTTTTGTGTTCCTATAGTTAATTCTAAAACATAGTTATCGAAGTACCTCGATATAAATGTTGGGTTTATGAACACTATTGTGCAGTCATAAGTATTTTTTTTTAAATTTGGGTTGTATTTTTGTTGTGATTTGACTGTATCGTTTCATTTGACGTAATCCTGTAGAATCTCAAAATAACGTGCTTAAAAATGTTAGTATTGAAATTAATACTTTCATATTTCGGAAAATTAGTAACATTTGACGAATAAAGATGATATATAATTGACTAATTGTACTTAATGACTGTACTTAATATGTTACTTATTTGCCTATAATATGAAGAGCTGCATTTGTAATAAACAACTTATGAAACGGCACCTACTTATTATTGCGGGCTCATATTGGTGGTACTTAGTTCAGTAGATAGACAATTTAGAATTTACTTTTTAGTTGTTAGCTTAAGTCGTAGCTTTAGTCGTGGATGAATAATATCCACATGAGAAATGTGATATTATTGAGTCTTTGTATAAGCCTATGATAGTTACTATTGTAATTAAGGTGATTTATTAGAAATAAAAAGAGCTTGCATAACTTTTGTTTCATTGGAATTTAATGATAACATTTACTTAATATTTCAAATAAAATAATTCAACATTCAAACAGTTATTTATCACATTGGTATAAATACTTCACTCGACTAATAAAATATATCGTACCGCATAGGTAGTAAAGCATCGGAAACAGTTCAAATACAAAAACCACTTTAGAAATTTTTCATGCTTTATGCATATTTCAATATATACAATATACATATCTGCACCAATAGCATTTAAATTTAGTAATAAATAACTTTTACGTTCATATATTACGTAATTTCACTATGGGATATTACAGTATTATTGAAAATAACTTATTTGTTACTTTTAATTAACTTGAATTACATTACATCTTAGAGATCACATCTTCAATTGCTTTAAACAAACATCAACTACAATATTATTCAACAATAGTGATGTTCATCACAATCAATACTGTGAGCACACAATGTTTCGCCAGCATAGCTGGTCATAACAAAAGAATAATCAATACAGTGAGTAATATAAACAGTGACAGTTACTAAATGTATATGGTGTAAGTAAATCTTATATAATCCATCCGTGTATATATAATATAATTCTTAAATAAAAGAATAGATCGATTTAAGCTCAGGTTTTATTGAGTTTAAAGAGAAAATGCTGTGTAATTTATTAAGATTTAAATCAACTTTGGTGTGAATGGATAACGTTTTTTAAAGTCGGTTATGTTAGAACCAAGCGCGATATCGTTCGATAGAATTATTTTATGCGACCAATACAGGCACATTATAGCCATGGTACGAAGAATAAATTTTGTTTAACAGTTACTGTCAGCCATATTTATTTATATTTTTAGTTTAATGCAAGAGGGAGAGGGGGAAATCGGAGAGGCCTATGTCCAGCAGTGGACTGCGATAGGCTGATGATGATGATGATATTTATATTTTACATAGGTATAGGAAATTACGCATAGGTACAAATACTACTAACTCGATAGTTACAAAGAGAGCTCACGAGAGAGATAGAGAGAGTGCCACGAGACATCTTTAGTCAGTCTACCCTCTGCGAGTCAGCACGAGACTATAAAAATAAACCGGATTCTTGGGTAGGTATTTCAGAACGTTCGGAGACACTAATGTATGTATATCAACCTAAATATTTTTTGTTATTAGCATAAGACTCCGTGTCACTTAGCGTCGGTCGAACACTAAATGCGCTTTTGTGCTCTGAGACTATGCAGATGTTAGAATGCCCAAGCACTCCCATTAATTAAAAAACGCCTTGATAAAGTAAAAATTATTATGCTAATAAATAACTAAAATGTATTTAATGACTGCTGGACTGATCATCATTATTGCCGCTAATGGTGTAACTAGTTGAAACAATAATTATCGATATCTATTAAAACAGCATTTTATGGACGACATTGTATTAACAAGTAAGGAATGTACACATTTTATTAATAAATCTCATGAGAATATTTCTATCGCAATACTAAAGGTAAAAAAATAAATTTATTATAGTAATACATGACAACGTAATAGCAAGCTATGATTACAACACAAAAATTTAGTTGCTAAGCCTCGTATCGATTACACACAGCTAATCTAATAATGCTATAATCTCGATAGATTAGCCATTATCTTAAAGCGTGGTAATGGTAACTTATTGGGGTATGGTGCGTGTTGTTAGTGCGTGATACGAGTAACGTATTAGCTAGGAGTAGATAGATGTCGAGTCAAATTGAAAATGATAGATCCATTGGAGCGTGTTATGGGGTAGGTAAATATCGTCAAATTGAAAATGAGGGATTACCTATTTTAACGCGTTATGAAGTAGTTAGATATCGAGTCACATTGATAATGATGGGTTACCTATTGGAGTGCGTTATGGCATAGCTAGTATCGAGTCAAATTAAAAATTATAGGTTACTTATTAGAGCGCGTTATGGGGTAGCTAGATGTCGATGCCGCCGTTTTAGCAGTAAGACTAAAGTTTAAAATATGATTAGCTGTCCTGTCACTATATTTAAGTATGTGAAACTAAGGTTTTTAATACAAACATTTTCATTGTAAAAGCCGATTATCCACAAAGTCTAAACTAAGGGTCCCATTAAAAATCTCCGATTTTGTAAAATTAGGTACATATTATTATATAACTAATGTGAGACGTATAAAATAAAAAAAAAATTGTGCATCATTTTTTTTATAGCTACCTACATATAATATAACTATGTACTAAAGAAGGTACTACATATTTTTAAATTATAAATTAACTGTAGAAATATGGTAACAAGGTAACAGTTGCATTTATGGCAACTATAATCGCATTTGTAGCGAAACATGAAACAATCAAATGCTAAAACTAAATGAAAGTCACTAAATGTGTGCGCTGTGTGTGGTTTATCTTTACATAGTGTAAAATGAAGTCCCTTTTTTTCTTGTACGCCTAGATCTTTTAAACTACGCAACGGATTTTAATGCGGTTTTCACCAATAGAAAGAGTAGTTCAAGAAGCGGGTTTATATGTATAATACATGCATGTTATAGGAGAGGAAATCTGAGAATTTCAAAGATTTGTACTGTCAAGCCGGCCGAAGTCCGGCAGGAGCGAGGCAGGCGTATAAGAAAGATAACCTGTAGTATATAGTCTTATCATATAAGTATAATTAATTACTTCAGACTGACACCACATTAGTAGTATCTATATTGCACTCGTGCGACGCCGGGGCGGATCGCTAGTATACTATGAAATATATTGTACAATATACACTTGTTCTCATTTCATTGTAAAATAAAGTTCTAATATACACATATAACTAATACGATCACATAAATCAAAACCCTGACGTGCTTGAATTACTTACATATTACAATATAAACATAATATAGGACCATATATTATTATTTTGTTATATTTTCTTAAAAATAATGAAATATTATGCAAAAGCAAGTACAAATTTATCCTATTAACTTCTAAAATTTGGTATATATTAAATACATACGGTTATAGTCACGTATTTCCCTACTGTGTTCCGGCCCGAGAAGGGCCCTAAATCAAGAGTTGGAACAACCTGCCAATTTTATTAAAAATTTTGTGTTAATTTTTTGTGCAAACCAATTAATTTGTAACAGCAGCTAAAATAAAAGGGAGGACTATATTACGTGGGAATAGGGTAATACTGAAAGGTGACCAAACCCTGTAGGTATAAATCTACAAGTACACAGCGGTATCGTCGGGTCGCACTAGCTCAGTGTTCCTGTTTGTTGTTGTTGCTGTTCCGCGACCTCTTGTGTGTTCTTCCTAACAATATCCTCCTTCACGCATTGCGTTTTTGTTTTCTTTGGTCGTCCTGTACTCTTGTATCCATAAATTTCTCTACATAAAAATCCCTTTATTACTTTTTTGCATACTGTTCTCCAACTAGTCCGTGGAGGGGGGCGGTTCTCCTTTCTTTGCCTATTTATAATCACATTGAAACCGCCTCCACGACAAACTGAAAATCCGCGTCCCAGTCTGCACTCCTTATTACTACGTTACTATTATTGGTATTTTCTTCACTAACTCCAAAATTATATAGTGCGTATCTATTTTAAGACATTAGCACAACAACAAATACAAGTATTAAGCCATTTCAGTTAAATTCTACATTCATAATCAGAGATACAATTTTCGTAACTTAGATAAACAATAATAGGTGTTATAATAATAATTATAAGTGTGTCATTTCTTCTATCATTTAAGTTCATTATTTAACATGTCACCGCTGTTATTGAGTAGCGCTGCCAACTCAGCAACTCTGTCCCTATGGGTGTGCATGTAGGCAGCTGCTTCCCACAGCATGGTCACGAGGATCTCGTCAGACCGTTCGTCCATGGCCACTTCCTTGGACATCTGCGGCGCGAACCGATAGTAAGGTACGCCTATTCCTGAGCACCACGCCCTAGCACGTTCGACCACTCGGCCGTCTGCTTGAGTCGCCTGGAACAACACGTCATGAATGTATTTACTAGTGCTTGCGCAATGGTTCAGAAACCATCGCCATTTATAAAATTACTAGCTAAACCGGGCCACCATTTGATGTAGCTCAGTAAAATTTGAAACATGTTGCCATTACAACTGATGCTATATCATCAATTATTATATCAATCTATACAAATAAATAAAATTGGAGTGTCTGTTTGTAATATTAAAATAACCGCTTATTACTAAATGCATATGTATGTTTACACGGTACATAATATATGCCAAAATAATTTTTTTTACAATGTTTGTCTGTCTGTCTGTCTGTTTGTTACGGGTAATCTCTGGAACGTCTGGATCGATTTCGACGGGACTTTCACTGGCAGATAGCTGATGACATAAGGAGTAACTTAGGCTACTTTTTTTAGACTAGCTTCGCCCCGCGGCGTTGCCCGCGGTTATAACAACAAACGCGGGTAACACCGCGGGTCTCAGCTAGTCTAATATATTATTACAAGTTATAAGTCAATCTAATATTCATAGTATTTATATTTTAATTATTAAATAATTAAAAATATTCAAAATCAGTCTTTTGGTCAATATTATTAAATGTTGAATAAAGATTCAAATTTAAGTTAAATACATATAGTATTAAACCAATCCAAAAAATACATACTGCAATAGTAACTTATGTCAGTATTTATTATTTTAATCTATACTAATATTATAAAGCTGAAGAGTTTGTTTGTTTGTTTGTTTGAACGCGCTAATCTCAGGAACTACTGGTCCGATTTGAAAAATTCTTTCAGTGTTAGATAGCCCATTTATCGAGGAAGGCTATAGGCTATATATCATCACGCTAAGACCAATAGGAGCGGAGCACCAATGAAGAATGTTTCAAAAACGGAGAAAATTTATTACTATTGAGAGACGCAGACGAAGTTGCGCGGGTCAGCTAGTAAGAAAATATATGTAATAGATAAGCTATTTAATCAAGAGCTATTTCAAAACAAGGAAAAAATAATCATGATTCATGTTAAGGTAAGTGTGAAGGTCAAGCCGATAGTGAGACGTATTTATCTGTTAATTACCTGGTCTACCAACAAGCGTCCAATAGAGCTCAGTCCGAAAGCCAGCCGCGCCGTATCCCATACACTCTCCGGTTTGAAAACATCTATGTCCTTTTGTTTTGTTACGGGTATCAGACCTAAATAGTTCAAAAGTAAAAAAAATATATTTGTATAATCAACATTTATCTGTGTAATTAATTTTAACCGAATGCGTCCAGCCATTACAGCGTCAAGTAATAAGAAATACAGCTTAAAACTTTAGATTAAGAAGACGAGATAACATCGAGACGGGTCAAAGTAATAGAATGACGATATATTATTATCGAATAAAACGACTGCACGGATATCGTAGTGGTTTAAGCGGTCGCCACGCCGCTCACTACTACGCGCAGAGTTGTGGATCCGATCTCCACATGAGACGACACTTTGTGTGATCCACAAATTGTTGTTCTGAGTCTGGGTGTTCTTTGTGTCCGTTTCATGTATGTTTCTAAAGTACCCCGCGACACAGTATATATTCCTAATGCTAATAATAATAAAAAAAATGTATTTTTGCGTAATTTTTTTTAAGACTAAACCCAGTCTTAAAAAACAATAACGCAAAAATCCCTTTTTTTTATTCCAACTTCCCTACAACACAAAAAGTCAAATAACATGGTAAAAGAACTGCCTATATTTTTGTTTGATATTTAATTTATAAAAAATCCTGTGTCACTTACCTGTTCCGCAAGAAACGACCACTTTCAAGTTAGTTTTTTTTGCTTCATCTTGTTTGCCCGTGGCTCTAAGAGCGAGATTCAACTCTGTCAATTCAGTTAGGACATCCAAAGTCGGGTTGTTGCCCATTAAACCTCCGTCTAAATACCTTATTTCAAAGAAAGTATTAAGATTAAATTAATAGAATTCATACAGAGTGACTTATAGTAGGGAGCCCTAAAAGGCATTTTGAAATTTTCTCGAGCATGGCAGATTAAGGTGGAATACCTTACACCCAGTTGAGTACCTCCAGCATACATAAGCTCTACATATAGGGTGGATTGTCTAGGGCAGCCCATCAGATTATTAAAAAAAAAAAGACAATGGCCAGAAATACTCGAGCGTGTATGATTAAGGTAAGTTGAGTCAATTACATACATATTAGTGTGTAGTAACTTCCAAAAAAAAACACATGACCTTGACTTTTTTTATTTTGAAGCAAACAATGCAAGAAATCTTCTTTAAATGTCTACATAATTTTTCGTGCCTTTATTTTTCACATTTTATATTGAAAAAATATTCTAACGGTCAAATTTAATGCCCTCCAAAATTATCGTCACATTTTTAGCTAGTATGAGAAAAAAATAAAGTTGAACTGTCTGTATAAAATCAAACACGCTCGGGTATTTCGAAATGGCTAATTTTTCGATAATTCGCTACGAGCTTGAGTCACTTTTAAATTGTTAGACATTTAAAAAAAAAAAACGATTTCCTCCCCTTACATTTTTGAAACCTGTAGAAGCATTCTATTATCTAATGTTTCAAATGCAATAAGTCCCCATGACGCTCCAGTAAATTCCCATTTAGCATCATGTGCTACCCTACTATTATTCTCAACTGTTTAAAATATTAACTGATGGAAGACTTTAATGCAGAACATCAATTATTATTTTACTTCAATTATGAAAAATAATTAAAACAAAATAATAATAATAATAATCTGTAAATATCTTTAATAACTACTCCAATTGAAATATTCTGTGATAAGTGTGCAGACACACGTATCTACAAAATAACTGCAGAAAAATTAGGATCAATCTTCCTAGCCCTATATTTTCACAACAGCTTTCAAGACCTGAAGAAATGAAATGCGTCTCATTATGTCAGACCAGATCCCGTTCCCAAAATACGTTACAGCAATAACACCTATTGCCCAGAATTGGGAAGATGATTACAATCAGCTATTGAGTTATGGATGCAGAGGATGCAGTACACTTACCTGCCAGAAGCTCTGAAGTAGGAAGGTGCGGCACCAGTGGCACGAGCCGCTTGCCACACCAGCTGCTCGGTGGGAGAGCAAGGGGCCGCTAAAGACACTACAGACGCCTGATCCCCTGCTTCGGCTTGTGCACCTAGTGTACATTTTGTGGTCAGAATTGATTAAACAGTCATAGGAGGGCGACGACGACGATAACATGTATTCCATATAAACTACTTATATACTATAAAAATATAATAATAATAATAGACGGATCTGGATTTTTTTTTTAATAAAGTAATATATAAAGTAAAAAATTATCCTGGAAAATTTTGCAAAATCAATATTAACGTTATCGAAGCTAAGGGTGAAAGCTAGTACTTTATAAAACAAAAAAACATTATTTAAAACTTTAAATTTGGAATATTCATAAACTGATTACTTACTTGTAGTTCCATTGTGTTCATTGAGTATCTCCTGAGCAGACTTGTAATTCCTAAATATATGCAAATCCACAGGCTTGCGGTCAGCTAATATAGCTAGGATCAAAAGCTTGGGGTGTTTGATGTCTGCCATCACCGTTTCTGTTCCTGTAATAAAGCAATAAAATAAATTTGTTAAAAACAATAACATATAGTACATTACCTCAGTTTCTATGTAGGAGAATTTCACCTAATTGTTCACTTAAGGCAAGCTACGCCATAATTAACGAAATTATTTTTTGTAATAAAATAAAATCTCGTTAATCATCATCATCGTCATTTGGTACAGGATTTGTGTCAAATTTTCCTTGGCAGTGCTGTTGTCTTTAGTTTGCTACCTTAGTCGGTTCTGACAACACTCACGGGATGAATAGGGGGTGGACACTGTTTAGAACTCTCCCGGGCCTGGCGGGCCAGGTACCGCAAGCGACTCAGGCGCCAGAGGTCGCAGATCGACCTCCGTCCTCCATAAGCGCAGGCCTGGGGGTGACAGGTGAGGCCATCTGTCACCCTAGCAGAAGCAGGCCGGGGTGGAGGCGAGTGCGTTGCGAAGCGCGCTCGCTTCCAGGGAGCAGAGGGAACATGGGGTTCTCACACGGGGAGGGTCGTCTACTTGTTGTAGATGGCCCGAGGTATGTCGGGGCACCAGGGACTTCCTTTCTAGGGTATACCTGGTTCCCCGGCTATTAGTACCCGAGACGGCGTGCGGTTTTAGTCGGTTCGAGTCTGACATGCCACCGATAGGTGGTAACGGAGGGGATTTCCGCACGGAAAAAAAAAAAGGGGGAGGACGTATTATTAATCCGTCACCACACAGATAAAAAAAAAACTCGTTTAAACTATATTCCAAACAATCACACAATATTTTCCGTAATCTAATATTGTATGAAAATCTGGTTATATCGTTATATTTTTTGTCTAATAATCTTAAAGAGGAATTTAATAAACAGTGATCGCCTACAAGTCTAATTCGCCCTTAATTAATAAATTTATTTAATTTCTCCCACAATATACATCGATACATATCTACAAAACAAAATACTTTGGAAGAGAGACAGGAGCCCATACTAAGTAAACTTGTGTTGTAGGTCTCCTGGCCTCCTTATCCCGGATAAACATTATTGCATTTTTTACATATTACTAATACTAAAACTTAAACTTAGAATATAATAATTAGATAGAATTATATTATAATAATTAGAGAAGGGATTGGAAATTCAGAATCAAAATACTGACCTTCTTCTTCTACTAACACTACGGCTCGTCGATAATTACTAAACAACAAAAATTAGTCTACTTTTACTTCACAAACATATACTAACCTAGACATTCCTTCAATATATTCTCCAGTGCATCAGATGGATAAGGTCTCATGCCAACGAAGGCAAATTCCTTCATCCTGAAGTATAACCTTTGACATTCCCTGAGCGATTTACCGCATGATAAGGCCAAAGCCAAAATACCCCCAGTACTAGTGCCAGCCACCCAGTCGAAGCAGTGTATGATAGGTCTACCGACTGCCTCTTCCAAGCTTAAGAGTAACTGAACTAAAACCAGGCCTCTGATACCACCGCCGTCTAAACATAGTAACCTGGATAAACAAAGAAGAACTTTATAATTTTACATAAATGAAAGAGATTGATCCCTCATCCAAAGCTTGTCAGACAAGCCGACCTGGACTCTTCACGCTTTAGGTATGAACATACAAGTACGCAGCGGACTCGACTTGTGGGAAAAAAGTCGGCTGCCACGCTCAGGGCGCATAGCACTTGTGGTCGCATATTAGTTTGATGACCAGTTACGTGGCATATCCTATAGTCCGTTCGCATAGCCTATGCATTTAGGTAGTCGCTAGCCCACATTATTGAGAGTTGCAATTTCCAGGTGATTATAACTGTATAAATAAATAATAGTATAATAAATAATAATAATTTAAATAAATAATAATAATATAAATAAATAATAAATTAAAATTTTATTTAATTAAATTCTACTTTGTTGTGTCGTAGCAAGAGTCACTATTTATATATATGTAAATGATTTTGCGGAATGAGTCTGTCTCAGAGTACAATCTTTGAAATGCATGTTAAAATTTTCAAAAAATGTTGCCAGCACTGACCTGCCTTGTTTTTGGTTTGCGTCAAAACATGTAGATTTCTCCATAGCGCCGACAGATAACATCTGGTCGACGAGATCCCTTGTCGCGGAGCGAGCGACTGCTGGAGGGGGTACACCATTGTAGTCCCCCCGGTGAGAACAACTGGGGCCACATCCAGGGGTTTCGGGAGAGCATCTGTTTTCATTAATAGAATACTGTTTGGGTATGCAATATTGACATTTAAAGCAAAAATGATTGTTTTTTTTTTGGGTTAAACGAGCTCCAGTCGGATTTCCAACAATCTTTTTCCATTGACAGGCCAAATTTTAAGGACAGAGTTCTTCAACATCACGGTGCGAGTGCAGCCGGGACCAATTGGGGGGAAAAACCATGTCTTTAACCTACAGATGTTTAAAAAAATGTGTTAAACAATAAAATACTCAAGTGAGAGAAACAGCGAGTCCATGACGTTGGGTAAAGCTACTAAAGAGTACCACCAAAGAGCGCGCAGTGCTCATAGTTCACAAAACAAATGTCGTGTTGAACCGTTGGACAACAACTCGCTTCGCTCAGGTATTTATTTTGATTTTATGGCTGAAAATAAATCTTCGAAGTGTTTTTTTTTTTACAATTTCAAACGTGTTTTTAAGCGTTGTGTTTAATTTACATCTAAGGGCTGTTTTTAAAAGAGAAATTTGTGTTTCAGACTTTGCTTTTTGTGAGTGCAGCTTCGAAAGTGCTGCATGCTTTCGAAGCTGCATGCTTTCGAAAATTTTAAGGTTACTAACTACGAGGGGTGATCAATAAGTAATGATAATCAATATGAAACAGAACTATTAGATTAAAAAAAGTATTTTATTTTTCAACATAGTCTCCTTGCAAGTTAATACATTTAGTGTATCTTTTTTCTAAGCCCATGATTCCCTTAGAAAAAATTCTTTGTCTTGACCCTCTCAAAATGCCTCGTTCGTTCGTGTTCGAGCAGTTCGAACCCCGTTTCTTCAATGGCAGCCATCGCAACTGCGGCTTTGTGAGCCGGGGCGTTGTCTTGGTGAAACAGCACTCCAGCGCTAAGAAGCTATTAAGTCAAAAAGACGCGGTAAACTGCTTACCGCGTCTTTTTGACTTAATAGCTTCTCGCAATCTTCTTATTTGGCCTGCGTAGTAAGAGCCTGTTATAGTGGCCCCCTTTTCCAAATATTCCACCATAATAATTCCTTCTGCATCCCAGAAAACAGACGCCATAACCTTTCCCGCTGAACTTGACACTTTGAATTTCTTCGGCGTTGGTGAGGAAGCTCGTTTCCAAGTCATTGATTGTTGTTTGGTTTCGGGATCAAAGTGGTGGATCCAGGTCTCGTCCATGGTCACAAAACGCGACAAAAAAAATTCTTTATCGGCCTGGAACTTTTGAAGATTCACCCCCGAAATGTCGACTCGTTTCTTTTTTTGCTCGTCGGTTAACATTCTCGGTACCCAACGCGCAGAGACCTTTTTCATATGCATTTTGTTGACAATTATTTTTTGAACGCTGCCATAGGAGATCCCTGTAACCTCAGCTACATGCCTTACGGTCACCCTTCGATCGGCCAACACGATATCTTCCACTTTTTTGACGTTTTCTCCAGTAAGGGACGTGGAAGGGCGTCCCTCGCAATGTTCATCTTCAGTGGAGGTTCTGCCCAGCTTAAATTCCTTTGCCCAGCGTGCGACTGTGGAATATGGAGGAGCAGACTCCCCCAATGTTTCCTCTAAGTCGCTGTGTATGTCTTTGGTACACATTTTTTTCAGGCAGAGGTACTTGATGACAGCTCTTATTTCATTTTTCTCCATTTTGATGTTTTCTCTTCGACAGTTCGTATTCAAATGAATGTATCTCTCGGTAATGGTGTCCTATTTATACATTTTTTTGAAGCTGAAGTAGTGGATATATAAGCAAGCAGAAAAAAAATAATTTGGGTTTTTGTGCGTTCTAGAAATACTCGATTATCATTACTTATTGATCACCCCTCGTAAATACACGTGAATGGTAAGAGTACGCATCCAAAGAGTGCGCACGCGTTCTCTTAGCTTGTATAAAGTGAAAATAAACAGCTTGCTTGTGTTTTGAGATTTTTGATTAGAATTAAAAGATGGGAAAATACAAAAGAAAATCAGATAGAAAATTTGTGCACACTGTGGAAATCCTCAAAGAAGTTAAAGAAAAAACAGCAAGAGGTCAAAGTAAGAGATCAATTCCGGAAGCAACACTAAGAAAAAGATTTAAAACGGACACCGTTCCCGAGTCCCTCGCTAGATTTAAGAGCGTATTGAGCTCCGATTTAGAAAATAATTGCAGATCATTGCCGAAAAGTAGGTGCATGTTTCTATGGGTTAACAAACAAAGAATTAGGAAGTAGCTAGCCTATGATCTGGCCGAGAAAAATAATTTTGATCATGGATTCAATCCAGAAAAGAAACAGGCCAGCAAACAATGGGTATAAAATTGTCGCAAAGAAACACCGACTCAGTCTTTGCCAGCCAGAAAAAGCTAGTTTGGCAGGTGCTGATCTCTTGCGCACTCTTAGCTTCAATGAATGGTTGCCATTACGTACTCTTTGCAACAAATTCATACTTATAAAGTCTGAAACGAATTGCTGGTTTCTTATCTTGAGTAAGCTGCTAAAATACGGAATTCAGCAGAAATTAATGATTTTACTACTATGTTGAAAAAACTTAAGCCAATGTTAAGTTTCAAGGTCGTTCACACATTGTCTAAGAAACAAAAAAATCTCTCGTATCCTATTGTATTATTCCTTATTAAGCGATTTAAAATCCGTTATGACTTTACTCCAATATTTTCTTAGTTAGAACAAATTGCGCCACAAAAGGATGTCTTACCTTTTAGCTCCAACCGCATGCAGCATATACAGTATTCTATCATAGGGACTGTTCGACAATTCCGTAGGTATTATATGTCTTGCCGTATTACCCATATTGTTCTTAGCTTCCAAATTTGCTCCGAAAACAATCAATGCTTGTACGATCGCTGTACTGGTTTGTTTCACGGCCAAATGTAATGGTGTGTTGCCTTCCTTATCGCCTATAGACGGCTCAGCTCCTCGGGACAATAAAGCTATGGCACATTCTAATCGACCGCGTAAAACCATTATGTGTAAAGCAGTTCTGCCGTCGAAGTTTAGTGCGTTTATGTCACAGTTTTTGTCGGCTAAAGCCTCGATCACTTCTCGAGATGTGGACCAATGTAGAGGTGTGCCGCCGTGTTTCATATCTTGTTGGTGAAGCTTTGGTTGGTTGTTTTGCATCAGATCCCCGACTATACCTATGAAAATAAGATGATTTTCAATTATCATCAATGGTCTGCTGGACATAGGCCTCTCCTTAGAAAGGAGGTTTTCGCCTACTACACCACGCTGGCCAGACAGGTTGGTACCTACAGGGTTTCTTTCAAGTTTTCTTTCTCTTTGCAGTGCTATTGTCCTGCTTAATTTACTCCCTTAGTCGGATCTTATGACACCCATGAGATGAATTTGCGTGGTGACACTCCGTATTCTTAATCCGTCACCACACGGAGACTTGTCGACATGGAAAAATAGGTAAATAACTAAAAGAGAATGACATGGAAGTGAATTACAGTAAAGTAGCGTCCCGAATATATGTATGTTTCAACCAACTTGACAACTATCCATAAATTATGATGTTGTACTAAAGATTTCTGTGAAACCTACACGGTAGGGAGATAATGGGTACCTCACCAATTGAGGAATATGTTTATTTACTATTATAATTGTAGTAATTACTAAGAGGAATAACTTGTCGCTAGTTATTTGCGGTATGGTCCTCCATTATCTGTTATCAGTACAGACAAAGCAATTTTCAGGAATGCTGGTATTATCAAATACTATTGACATCATTTCATAATTTATAACATTCAAGCTTATTTATTCAAACCGAAAGCAAAGTAACAAAAAAGATGTCAGAATGATATTAAGATATCAAAAAAAAAGTTCGGCAAATAAATGACTGCCAAAAAACTTAGGCTGCGAAAACAAAATTACATCATTCAACTATGAAAAATAATCGTGATATAATATATTAGTAATGTTTCTGAGAAAACACCCTTTTAATTACAATGATTAGAAATTCTTTTTAAATAACAACTTAATTTAACCATATTGTGGATTGAATCACTTTTGCTCAATACGGTAAAATTTTGCTTCACAAATATTTAATCCGTTTACAGATAAAGTTTGTATTTTAATAATGCTTGGTCCTTATTTATTTTTTTAAACGAGCTTAAGTCCAAAGTGCTGTTCATAGAACCCCATAATAATAAAATAAATCGTTGCTTACTTCCCACTTCTTCAACAACCCACATTTTCAAACTTTTTGAAATTTCGATTTTTTCAGAACTTTTCAAGTTTACAATAATAATTACAACACTATGTTCACCAATCGAATTTATAGTACACTGTGCAACTTGTGTGGAATACCACTAACAATGGACTGGTTCGATTATGTTTAATACTTCTACTATTATAGTAAATATAAACAAACCCGTGTTAATAACCTTTGCCATACAAACACGATAAGGTGACGTGAAGTCACTTCATATGAAATGCAATAAATTTTCCTCCATAGGTATTCAAGGAATTAATACTACGCAAACTATGAAACTTATGGCCACTCATTAAATCTGCTACTGACTACGCCGGTTTTAACCACGCGCAAAATACGCATTGGCGCCAAGCTTAAGTACTGATAACACCATAATTTCCAGGTAACCCATAATATAAAGAACGTGTGGCAATTATTACCTTGCTTCGAATAAACTTGTCTAATGTAAATTTTCCATACATTATGGGTAAGTCAGACTCTGATATCATACTTTGGAAAGAACTGTTGCCTTTTATGTTTAACTGTTACCTGGTAATGTGCTGGTAGATCTTTTAGCAGCTGTAAGGTTGACGTCAGCTCCGGCCGCCATTAACGCGCGCACGCAATCTGGTGCATTGGCGAGGCAAGCAGTATGAAGTGGCGTGTACCCTTGCTTGTTATACACGTTTAAGGATGATGGGTTTTTGCTTACTAATGCCTGTAAACATGTTGTTGGTTAAGAAATTTGAGCTTTTAGAGAACAATTGTATTAGATAGAACTCTTAAAAGAACTATTTAAGAATAAGAAACTTCTCACAGCTGAAAACATTCGAGTCCATAAAGTAAAAAGTTTCGTTATCTATAAATAGGCAAGACAAAATAGATAAGCATTTTTTCCTGTTGTAACCGTTTTTTTTTTAATTTAGTATGTAGTTATGGACAAGTTTCTTTTTAAATTATGTAAAAACGGGTGCAAAAAGTTGCATTAAATGTATACAGTGAACTGCCATGGTAGTTAATTCTATAAAATAACACAGTTCAAGTTTTACAAGTAAATTATATTAAACAAAACATTTAATTTTGATAATGTATGATCGCAATTCGACCATCAGGCGATCTCTAATATTAAAAATACGTTCCAAAATCAATTATAAATTCGGTTTTGACCACATGCAATAGTTAAGAATATCCAGTAACCTATTTATATAGTATAACTTACATTAACAATCTCCTTATTACTTGCACCTGCGTAATGGAACACGGTGTTACCTTCTAGATCGATTACATCCAGTGAACTGTTCAAAGATACCAAACTTTGAACCATTCGTACATTACAAGCTTTTACTGCAACCTGAGAAAAAAACATTGTCTTATAAACTATATATATACCTACTAATATAGTAAACCTTAAGATCTGTTGTAACACTCATGCTTTTTATCCGCACCTCCCCGGTGGGCGATGGGTAGACAGAAGCATATTAAACGCCCACTTTTTGGAGACTGTAACTTTAGCCCTACTCACGTAGTAGCCTATTGCCTTCAACCAGGCACATATATTTCTAAATACATACATATTATGGATAAATTTCACCTAGACACAGAAGGCTCCACCAATCGCAACGCCAAACGCGATCGACGTCGACGATCGAGTTGGTATAAAATAAACACACACTAGACCACTCGGTCATAGACTGACTCGACTGTGACCTTGAATCGTCACAACAATCACAGTGATGACAAGCGGGACTCAATTTCCTACTAGCAACCGATTGTAAGTACTTTCCGAAGCAGCCGTGCCGGGAAAGGACCTGCGTCAGCCGGAAGAAAAGGGTCCCGTGCTCCACCCTGCTCAATCGACGATGACCGGCTGTAGCACCTTCACGGCGGACTCGAATGTGACCTGAGTGGCTGGCCCACGGCCAGTGCAACCTGGTCGAAAGGCAATTCAAAGGTTTGTACTCAATAACTATTGTGAGCGCGTTCATTCCCATAAAAATAATTACCTATATATTGTGGTTCTGTTAGTTATCCAGCGAAAAACTAACGACAATAATGCAATCTTTCAGTTTAAAAAAACCAGTTACTTTTATTAACATTACCCTGTTGTTAGGTAACAATAGGTGTATGTATAGGTAGTAGGTAGGTATATAACTATTTATTTAAAGTTATTGAGTTATCGTAAACGTTTGAGTGTGATAAGTTCTAGTTAACTCTGATATACGATTGGTATATTTTCGCTGTCATTTTAGTTGTTTGGTAAAATATGAAGCTAACGAACAAAAAAATTATTAATATAGTTCAGGCCGGTCAAAGATTATCGCTAGAGATTGCAGACTTCAATAAGACCTCCATTTGTGCTGATGTAACTACAGTGTACCTATATTTCTTTGTATTCTATTAGTGGTGACAAAAAATATACAATTATGAATCTTAGCATATGTTTATATGTGCTCGCAAGATTAAGGATTACGATACAAAATCGTCCTACCTTTTTGTGAATGAAAGGAATTAAATTTAAAACACGCATTATAGCATTAGGTATTACGATTCCCATATACTAAACACTATACTGATATTATAGTATTCAACTTGCCGGCTGGCGACAACACACGCGCATATCTAACAGAGTTCCAAACATTGTAAATTCCATGCCAAAATTAAACTTAACTAATGTATAGAAGCCCGAATTTCTTTAAGGACAGTGTTAAATGCGCTCCGGCGCGGCCCGGTTGGTGGAAATCGTACTTTTAGGCTTGCTTATGTTAAAACAAATAATGGTTGCAAAAAAAATCTGCAAAGATTAACTTTTTGCCCGCGGCTCCGCCCGCTTGTATGATAACCGATAACCGATATCGCGGTAAAAAGTAGCCTATGTTACTCGCTGATAATGACCATTGGCAAAATATATTTTTTAAATCGGTTTAGGCCTAAAAGCGCAACAAACAAACCAACTCACATTCACATTTATAATATAAGTATGGAAGTAGAGATAGTTAAAAAGTAATAAATCATATAACATATGTGTATGATTACATGTTTGAGTAGGTATTGATGTTTAAATGTGCTCTCTAGTGAACTTTGAACATTAGTGTTTTTATATTAATCTAGGTATATAGAATTAAACTTTGGTAAACTTATCCATCACAACAAAAAAGGTTTTTGTAAATAAGGTCTTGAAATAGGACAGTTGATAAAAAAACAAAAGTAGAATAACGTACGAACTTTATGGCGCAAAATACGTAAAATTGTTACCCTTTTAATTTTGTCAACAAGTATAGACACTACTAATTTATTGTTTAGGTCACTATAGCATAGCTTTTTGTTTTTAGATTTGCAATAAATATATGTCTACTTGTCTACTACTACAAATGATTTTTTTTATACCGATTTTATTATTATTTAATTGAAAGATAGAATAAGTTGCGAAACTGCTGATGTTTATTGTAGTTTTATAAAAATAAAAACCTAAAAGTACAAGGTTTTATTTATGTGTAGCATAGTTTTAATATTTAGTACTACACAGCTAAATAAGCCCGGCCAGCCAGCCAGCTCCATCATACTCACCATAAGAGGAGTTGCTCCAGTCAATGGGTCAGTATCATCAATATGTTTTTGAACATTAGCATCATTGAACAATTCAGTGAGACCAAAATGAGCCACTAAGTGTGCTATCGTCCATGATTGGTGTTCAGTTAATGTATCACAAAGCTTTTGAAGTATTGGTACTGTACACTGTAACAATATTACATAAATAAATAATTGATATTCATATTATTAATTAATACAACTTCTTCAATAGTCTGTTCATGTCTTAATATCAATGATAATAGACTACAGTCATGTCTAGTCTATACAAATAAATAAAATTGAAATGTCTGTTTGAATATCAAAATAATAGGTTTTTTTCACGCTCACACGGTTATTTGCACAATATGAGTGCTTAAAAACGGCTGGACCAATTTAGATAATATTTTACTATAATATATATGCGGTATATATAGTGGCATATCTGGCTAAACGGGAGCTACATGACTAATGAACTTTAAAAACTTTTCGGGTAAACACTGTTTTAGAAAAAAAGTTCAAGGCCTGTATAATAAAAAATGGCTTAAGTGCAATCATGGAGACAAATATGTTGCCTGCAAATAAGGTGTATTGTATTTACACTATTTGAAGGTCAGCAAGAATAGAAGTAACTATGGACATTCTTAAATATATATACTAAATTCAACACATAAAGCTGGTTATTACTTAAGGGTTTTTTACTAAATAGTGAAGATAAGTATTTACATGTCATCAGGTTATTAAACAAATGTATACATAGTAGTACTGAAGACTATTTGTAGTAAACATTGGCCTTTATAGGTAAAACTAATAACTTCACACATCTTACACATGGTCGTCTGGTCCCAAACTAGGCAGAGCCTGTACTATAGTCACCAGACTGCTGATAAACTTCCTTATCTATTTTTAAACAAACCTACAACTTCCGGTTTAGCAGTCAGGGTCACTAATGACTAGACCAACAGGTCAGTCAGTATGGTTCACCCCACGGCCGTTATCGTACATGAATGTTCTAAATAAGACTGTTCTATTTGTTAAATGTTATATATATGAGATATACAGTTTTATATGCAGTATACTTCCTCCTTACCATAAATCTTTACTTTAAATAAAGTTATTATTATTATTACATTACGAAATTAATACAAATATATGCATACTATTATTATACATATATTGGAATACTATTGTATGTATAATATCATGAAATATGTGTACAATAAAGATTATACTGTTCTATTCTATTCTATTCTACTCGTACTACATTCTTGAAAATCAAAATGTTATTATTATATTAAAAGAACAAATCATTGAATAATTCCTTTTCGTGATTTAAAAGAATCTTACCTCTTTAGTTATTTTGATGAAAATTGGTATTCTTTCTTTATAAACAATGAACTTTTCTTCTGCACTTTCTAAATTAGTTGCTCGACATAAACTGTGAAACCACAACAAAATGTTATTATTTTATCAATATATTTATGAACATCATAATTCATTATTATTTTAACCCATTTTGACAGTAAGTTTTTCCCCGTTTGTCTTAATTTGTTTTTGCATTTCATAAATGCAAATGTTTGGATTTATAGATTGATAACTTCTACACCTTTTAATATTACTCTTTACAGGTAAATGGGTGTACTTTTAGATGAATTTTCAGTAGATTTAGGAATCCTAAAGTAATTCAGGGTGATTAATTCAGTAAAAAAAACATAATCTACATTTATTTAAATAAACTAATTAGGTAATATGTATGATATTATTAAAGGTAATGTTTGGAAACAGTTTTTGTTTATTATTGTATAATAGTTATATTATTTTTAACTGGAGTAACAGAGAATGCAAAACACCTTTTTGTTTTTTTGAAATAAATGTTATCATAATTTAAACATTTTACATTTTTGGTCAGTGAGGAAGTTTATTGTAAACATTATAAGCCATACCTGTACATCTGATGTAAGCTCTCAGTAAATGGTTTATGAAGAACTATTTCATAATATTTATCTTTTGGACTCTTTGAATCTGCCTTTGGACCATACAATAACATGGAATCTTCTCTGTAATGTATAGGCCTTGAGATGTAATTGTCAGAGCGCACTTCCAGGACTTTGGTTGGGGGTTCTTCAGTGCCCAAAATGTTACGAAAAACTATCAAACAAAAGAAAAATAAGAATTTATTTCAACCAAATATTTTCCACTTCAAAGACTACAAAATTTTTTTTTAAGAAATTGTAAAAAAAATATTTACTTACTTGAATTGAACATTTTGCCTGCTATTTTCAATATGGGGCACCAGTTAACTAAATTGTGAAATCCTAATTTTAATTGAGTTGCATTACACAACCCATGATACAATTTCAAACTGGCAGGGCATTACAAATTACAATATTTTCATGCATGAGTTTTGTGTGTGACACTTCACGTTGTTCATTTCACGCAGTTTATTTTTTTCACAAAAAAGTTAATTTAGAGTTAAGACATAAACTAGAAACCAATAATACAAAATCTGTTTTAATTCTGAGTTATAAGTACATGTATGACATCACTGTGATTGAGTAAAGATTTTAATAACATTCGTAATCGAGCGTACCCATCAGTTTGACTCGTTTTTGCAAGATTATGTTGATTATATTGCTTTATGTGGGAATCACACAATTTTAAACTGAAAATTAGGAGACTTGAGTTGAGATATCCATGGGCACCTGAGCAATGCGGAGGTGAGATAAGACGAGGGGGAAAGCACTACAGAGGGCCTAGTGTGAGTATATTTTATATCAACTTGCTCGTGCACGCGTTGTAGTAACACCACGTCTTTTCTGCTCTGCTCAACCGTTTCCACTGGAGTTGAATGTAGACGAAACGTGTTAATAACCACGCTTTAGTGGAAACTTATCATCAGGTCAACCGTTATTGAGTGACTAGTGGTATCACTTGTTTGCTCTCCTTTACCATAAAAAAGGATGAATATTGGTTCCGAATTAATCATACAAATATTGAATACTAGCTTTTGCCCGCGTGTATGTCGGTTTTCGTGGTAAAACCCCTATGTTACTCGCTGATAATGTAGCTTTACATTTGCGAAAGAATTTTGAAAATCGGTTAAGTGGTTTAAGCGTGAAAGTAAACGAACAAACAAATTCACTTTTATATTCGTGATATAAGTATGGATACATTCAGTGATTACTTACAAGCAGACATAAATATCTTTAATATTAATGGCAACATTGTTAGTAGCAAATCGGACTACTCCTATCTAGGTATACTAACGCATCCTCGACAATGTTGGCCCTGGCATTAATGACGTCAGAATATTGTACTGCTGCCAGCACATAGCGTGAGAACAAACGTATGTTATAACGTTAAACTGTTTAATCATTCATTCTCAACGCATCTTTGCAGTTCGTAAGGTGTTTCCATATAAAAACTTATTTCATTTAATTTTTCACAATATTTTTATGCATTAGCTTACAGTATGTACAGTATAATTTATGTTGTGGTGTGATGATATGATTCTTAAATCATATGATTTAGCACATGTGATTGTGATTTTATTTCCTCCCTAGTTCTCATTATAGCGTGCGTTTACGTATTCACATATTTGGTCCAGCACTAATATGATAAATAGCCTGCAAATGTGAAACCAAAATAAAACCATCCTTACAATTAACTTTTATTAGATCAAAAATGGAATGCACAAAACGTAACACTAATACAAACTCAATGAAATACATATAATGAACACCTACATTAAAATAGAAATATAAGTCATGTCATATTCATATAAAACATAAAAATCTTTGGTATAATTTAAGTATGTGTATAATTAAATTTAGAGGACTAGACCATTTAACAGAATTATTTGTTCGAGTTCAATATGTTCTCATTAAATATTTTTCTGCAACTTCGTGGAAAATGAAATTTGTATCAAATTAGTTAATTTTAAAGCCATCTGGTAAAGTATCTGATACGCAAGTATCTGACTCCTGTTAGGATTTGCTTACGATTTTATTTCGAGTCGAACATAATGTACTTTAAAATATAATAGTAACACAGTCATTTTATTATTACTGCCAAACAAAGATGACGAGAACTTGTTGTATTAATTAATATACTAGCCGTTTCACCTGCGTATAATATGGTCACTGCTAAGTTCTTAAGAGCTGTATCGTGATGATAAACAGCCTATAAACTTCCTCAATTAATACCATATCCAATACGAAACGATTATCGTGTTTAAACAAGTAATAAACATTTTCTGCTAAACTATATTAGTATAGATTATTAACAAGGGATCTTTGGTCCTGGCAAGAAAAAGGCTGGTATTGGACACTCCTTATAACTATGTGAAGGAATAAGTTTAGTAAGATGCAGATAATTTTGGTAGATTACAAAGAAACGTAATATTAAACAAAATTTTAGAAGAGGATACCACCACTCTCTACGGATATTTAAAGCAAGTAGACTAAAGGTATTTCATATATCAAGTTGGTTGAAAGAAATTTATTTCTCATACAACCTTACAGTCCATTTATAATGAGATACAAAGTTAAAAGTAATCATATAACGCAATTACCTCTTACACTTCATTTATTTGACTCCGATGGCAATTTGTCTGTCATGTCACTTACTATAGGTCAAAAAACGTGGTTAGTTGTATTTATAGTACTTGAAGACACAAGCTCATCCGAAATACCATCAATAACTACGGAAAAGGGACAGCAGCTAGCTCGATCCATCAATTATGGACCTTGCTTTAATTTTTATTAGCAGCGTTTCATCAATTGTCATAAAAAAATGTATTTTTATTAGACTTGCAACGAATATTCGGTTACTATTCGGTATTCGGCATATTCGGCTGCTTTTATTATATTCGGCCGAATACCGAATATCTACATATTATTCGGCCGAATACCGAATACTTAAATAATATATTTTGTCATTGAGAAATAATTGGTAAAATGAAAAATTAAAATCGATTGATTACGTATATATTCATATTTTCATTTCTGTTATAATCATTTAAGTAGTCATTGGTGCATAACACAGGTACATAATCATCTTCTGAATTGGAAAAATGGAGGATTCTATGTATTTCAATTATTGTGGTAATCAAAATTTAGAAGGGTAAGGTTCTCATTTCTTTTATAATCATTTATTAAGTAGTCATTGGTACATAAAACAGGTACATAATTTAATTCACGTCTGTACAAGTTTTTGGCGCTAAAATCCAGCCGAATACTTTTGCCTAATATTCGGCTATTCGGTCAGGGGCCTCGCCGAATATTCGGTATTCGGTATACTGCCGAATATACTATTCGTTGCAAGTCTAATTTTTATATCATATTAAGAGAAAATTATGGTTTATTAATCGTTACACTATTGGACGTCGACACGTTCCTTTTCACGTAGTCTTTTATAGTGAGTTATAAATATAGTGAATTATAAAAAATACTATGCCAATTGGAACTGCTTTATATATCCTGATAACATTATTTGTATACAATCCCATATCATTGTGTCGGAAATCCATGGAAGAACTCATTTATCATAAAATACTTAAAGTTTTTAAAATTTATAGGAAGTGTATAATAAACTAAACGAACTATTAATTTTCGCTATAGAGCCATTACCTGGAATGTATAAATCTAAAATAATTATTTATAATACTTTGGTGAAATATAAGATCATGGTTAAGTTACAATATTTTAAGTCTATAAAATAAAAATTTAAACTGCAATCAAGTATAACACAAAAAATAAAACTTACAACTAAAAACAAACATATATTATGAAATCACAAATATTTGATAGTGAATGTACTCTGAGATAAATGCAATCGTATAATATATAAAATGTACATAAAATATATTGTTACAAACAGTGTAAGCTAATGAGCACTTTGTGTAAGTACCTTACATTTATTGTACTAGTAGAAGATATTTCTAAACTGAATATATAAAATAGTCGCCAATAATTCAGTAGTAATTAAATTATTACTACAACGTTCCGTAAATGTGGATTTACGCTTTTTTGCCACATATTTTATATCTAGGATATTTGATAACATTTAAAGTTTAAAAATACTAAACGGTATCCCATACAAATTATACATATATTTCTAGAAGCTATTGCTAAGGTATATCTTGTCATGTACAACATATTATAGTAGTATCTTAGCTTGTACATATAAGAGTTGTTAGGCCACCTATAATATGCTCTCACCGGACTGACTAGAATCATACATTATTGTAAATACATGGTCATAATCAGGGAACTTTGTAATATAATGATTGATAACATATTCAAGTTGAAAACCCTATTTATAACTCATCTTAAAAAGTTGTGTTTATAAACAGATTAAGAACAAAAACTAAAGAGCATATAAGAGCATTAAATAATAACTGAAATAGGTTTTATCAATTTAACCTGAAAGTTCATTATTATTTAACTATAATGTTACATATAGCGCCTACTTCAGAGATAAATGAAGCTCTTAATACATTTGTTTATACAGAACCTCAAGCAGCGTGACTCTGGTTAGTGTTAGAACCAAGCAGACTATCTGGATTGGCTAAGGGGTCGAGTTCGGCGAACAGTTTGAACCATGCTGCTTTGTCATCTTTCTTAGGTACGACAGAAGATGCACTCGGCTTTGGTATTTCTGGAGGGTCGCTTTTGCCGGGTGTTGGAGTCATGGCAGCTTCGAGGACATTTGATGAATTCTGAAAGAATAGTTTTTATTATATAAGGTTACTATTATATTCTATGGATGTCGAATTTGTCGGTGGCGATATACGATTATTAAGACGGATGTGTGAAATGACTGGAATAGAAAAGGTTCAATTCATTTATTTAGTGATAAAAAACATATTAGTTACAGAAGTCGATTACAATGTTAAGCACATGCTATGTCCCACCGATAGACATACAAAATATTAGGTAAGGTAAGGTCTGGAATGAATACGTTAGACGGAGTTTGAGGGTAGCGCCAGTAAAAGGAAAGATGAGGAGCAGCTGACTATGTGTACTACAACATGGTATGCACGTTAATCCAAAGGGATGAGCAGAATGTGGCGAAGAGAAGTTTTATTAATTGAAGTATGATGGATATAAGATTTGAGGACCGAAAGAAGATGGACCGATACTTAGAAATTTAAAATAGGACATAGGTGTAAGAGTAATAAGTGAATTGTAAAAACATATTGAAATTAACATTTATTTTTATTTATTTATTTATTCATGAACAGGATTTCTGAAAAATCTACTCACGGGTTTGGTAAACATTTAATTTAAGCATCTATCTACTAAAAAACATATTTCATGTTTTATCATTTTCGTGTATCCAAACTCATGCATTGAATGTATAAAACGTTCGGGTTAAAAACCAAATCAGAAGCACCCATATGTTGCGTAGCAACATCGCATTTACATGACTTTAAACCGTGAAAATGTGGAATTTACTGAAAATTATACGGCATGAGGGGTCTATGGACCCCAGGTCGGCACGAAGTTCCGCAAGAAATGTCGAAAAAAAATCTTGTTACACATTTTTCGGTCTCGCTCATAGCATGTAACGCGCGATAAGGAACTTCGTTCTAAAAACACATGAATGAATATATAATATATAGAACGTGTTCTAACGTTTATTTAACTTTGTATTGACAATAAGAGAATCCGAGATGTTTATATGTGTTCCAACAATTCAATTATGTATTACTACCGTTTACGTATTAAATACGATTTGTGTAACGAATTTGTAACAATTTGCCACAAGATTAATACAAAATTTCAGTACATAGTTACTATGTTATCATTCAGTGCATAATACCAGTATCTAATCAGCAAGCTATATGGTAGAAGTACTTACAACTGCATAAATAATTTCATATGTGTAGATAAAATTCTGTTTAGAAAGAGAGAGAGAGAGAGAGAGAGAGAGATAGATATAAACCCTTTTTTTAAAAGACAGCTCCCGCTTTAGGAATATATCCCGTGTAGCGGGGGACTTTACAAACATACAAGAAACGGACACACAGAACACCCAGACTCAGAACAACAATTTGTGGATTACACAAAGTATCGTCCCATGTGGGGATCGGACCCACAGCACTCAGCGTAGTAGTGATCGGCGTGGCGACCGCTTGAATCACTACGCCATCCGTGCAGTCAGTCACTATAAACAGGTGTAAGAACCATTACTGACTGGAGCGTCTAGTTGCCTTAATTGGCAAAATTAAAAACTTTTATTGTAGATTGATTTATTTGTGATTGATATTATTATGTACGATGTATGTTTATGTCACAAGAACTTACTTTTAATGTTATCAATACTTTTACAACGTTACTGCTTTGATAGTAACAACTGAGTGTTAATAATAGTCAATGGATGAATTGTGTCAATATTTGTACCGACTTGGTTCTCATGTGACTATGTATTATGATTGTATTAAGTTAACGAAATCGCGTGATATATACTATGACCTGTGGACGTTAGCAATTTATTCAAAAATATTGAGTCCCGTTTTTTTGTGTCGTTTCTTTACTCTCTAGGAAGTACTTACTTATACCTGTTACTTAATATGGGATCGGTAATTCTTTTAGTCGAGATATTTGTTTACCTTAATAAAATAGGGATTCTTTTTTTTAAATCACCTTTGTTTTTCCTTTTTAAATCACTTTTTTCAACAAACCAACTTTTCGTATTGTAACGATTTCGTGAATTGATATCCTGCTTTTGACATGAATCAGTGCATTAATTACCTACGCCAAGGTTTTTATGAAAAAATATCGTTTTTCGAAACTCTAATTGTCAAATTAGTGCATGACAAAGGCTTGTCCTCGCTGAGGTGACGTAAGACAAACGACCGAAAAGTGTGCCGTAGCATAGGATATAATTTAGTTAACATTCAATAAAATGTACGTGCGAGGGGAGGTCCAAAAGTTCCTGGAATGGAGGGGATGGAGTGGGGATAGGGGCTCTCGCTTAGTGTCATACTAATTGGGGACTCATTATTAGTATATAAATTAAGTTTTAGCCCTATTGCTTTATTCGTTTACGAATATTCGCCTGCTAAACAAGTCTATCCGCAGAAAAATGAAACTATGGAGAAAATTGAACACCGTGCTGTGATAAAATTCCTTACCAAGTAAGGAAAGAACGCTCGGACCATTTTGAATAAAATGCAAAGCGTTTGTGGGGGACAGTGCCCTAGTAAATCAATGATTTACCAGTGGCATGGTCTTTTTAAACATGGTCGGGCATCGATTGAAGACGAAGGAAGGCCAGTTGAGGCCACCACATCAGACATCGTCGAAAAAGTTGAAAAAATTGTACTGGAGGACTCCCGTTTGAAGAAAAAACAGTTATCTGCATTAGTTGGAGTATCAGACACCACTATTTTGCAAATCCTACATGACCACCTAGGTATGACAAAAGTCAGTGCAAGATGGGTACCGAGAATGCTCACACCGCTTCAGAAATAACAGCGCGTCGAAGCGTCAAAACAATTTTTTGAGTTGTGTGGAGACGAACCTGCACTGATTTTGGAGCGGATTGTTACCGGAGATGAAACATGGGTTCAACGGCATAAAACGGGTACACGACCGCCAAAGAAATTCAAAGTGAGTTGAGTTGAGTTTTTTGGGATTGTGAGGGGATAATACTCATTGATTACAAAGAAAAAAGAAGGACCATAACCGGAGAATACTACGCAACGATACTGAAGAAATTAAAGGAGGCCATCAAATAAAATTGACCAAGGGTGTGGCTCTTGCAAGACAACGCGCCGGTTCACAAGAGCAGAGTTGCAATGGCTGCTCTGCATAAGCATGGCTTCGAAACACTGGTCCACCCACCCTACAGTCCAGATCTGGCCCCAAGTGATTTTTATTTGTTCCCCAATTTAAAAAAAGACTTAAGTGGTTAAATTTAAAAAGAGACACACTGTGATCCATAAATTGTTGTTCTCAGTTTGGGTGTCATTTGGGTCAGTTTAATGTATGTTTGTAACGTGCCCCGCGACACAGGATTTGTTTCTAGTGCGGGAGTTGTCCTTTTAAGATAAAAAAAGAGTTCCGTTTTCGAATCCCATAATTGTTTTTCATTCTTTTATTGTAAATGACCAGATCTAGAGACCTTCAGTATGCCCCACGTATAAGTACGCACCACAAACAACAAATTAGACTAATATGCACATAATAGGTCTTTACCTATGAAATTTCCGTTTTGTATGCAATAAGAGAAAGTACTTATTTTTTCAAACTTTTTTATTTCTGTTATTCGAAGTAATCACCCACGCAATCGACGCATCTTTGCCAACGCACTGGCAGTTTATTGATGCCCTTCTTGTAAAAATCAGCTGGACGGGATGGAACAAACTCTTCAAAGGCATTTTGTACTGCCTCTCGGGAATTGAATTTTTTACCCGCTAAAAAGTTGTCTAAATTTTGGAAAAAAGTAATAGTCGGTAGGTGCAAGGTCTGGTGAGTATGGCGGATGAGGGAGAGCTTCCGACCCCAGCTCTTGCAGCTTGGAGACTGTCTGTTGCGCAGTATGGGGTCGCGCGTTGTCGTGAAGGAGCAGTGGGGACGACCGATTGACCAAAGCTGGTTGCAGATGTGCAAGCTTCTCCAGTTCTTCACAGTACACATCTGCATTATTGCTGATGCCGTTTTGTAAAAAGCTGTGGTGAATCACATCCGCACTAGACCACCAAACAGTGACCTTCACCTTTTTAGGGGTCATTTTTGGTTTAGGGCATTGCTTTGGTGCTGAACCAGGGTCTAACCAACTTGCTGAGCGCTTTTGATTGTGGAACAGAATCCATTTTTCGTCGCACGTAACAATTCGTTTAAAAATTCCTTCATTTCTCTGCCTGTTGAGCAGCGCAAGGCAGGTCTCGACGCGTACGTTGCGCTGGCGATCGTTTAGGTCGTGGGGAACCCATCTATCAAGGTTTTTTACCTTGTCAATTTGTCGCAAATGGATCAATATTGTTTTGATGCTTACATTAAAAGCTGCTGCTAGCTCAGCTGTAGATTGAGTTTCGTCAGCTTCCACAATCGCCTTTAATTCATTATTGTTAACCAAAGTCTCCGGACGACCACGAGCTTCATTTTTCAAGTCAAATTTTCCAGAACGGAACCGGGAAAACCAATAACGGGTTCTGCGTTCGTTTGTACAGTTCTCTCCGTAAACGTTTTTGATGTTACGTGCCGTTTGTGTCGCGTTGGTGCCACGACGGAACTCATATTCCATAATTACACGAATTTTTAAAGTAGGTATCCATTATGACGAAAAATGTTCAAATGTAATGAAAATACAACGCTAATCAAAAAACAAAAGACTGAGTTTGTAAATAGAATGTCATGGTTTTAAAACAAAATTAATTTGAATTTAGAATACAGAGCCATTACAAACTTTTTTTTATTTGAAATGACCAGTACTGAAGAAAGGCAATTTCATAGGTAAAGACCTAATATTACATTATTTATAAAGCTGCAGCCGTGGCTGCTTTGGTTGCGAGTATGTAACTTTTTATATTTGAGATACTCTTGATAATATTGGTTATGTGCAAGTGCAATTCTCGTGTAAATCGTTTCAGCTGTTTATTAGATTAACAGACAGAAATAAAAAAAAATGATTATTGAGATAAGTAATAAGTAAACGTAGTAAAAGTATTATTTTAAATTACAAATTAGTATTTTTTATATATGTTTATGTATATACTATATGGTTGCTAATATTTTAAAGCGTGGGTATTGCTCTGCTCCTATAGGACACATGTGACGTTCTATACATATATCCGCTATACTTCTCATGTGAAACCAACCCTGTTTTTACTTGTGGAACCCCCTTGGGCCATCACCCCATCGGGATTTGCGGAGGGGCGGTGTGTGGGCCGGCTGTTATTGCGATATTTGGAGCCCTCCTAGCGCCTGCCGCTATGTGAACCCAATCCTATAACACGTTACTTTACCACTTCACTATAATTTAGGTTGAATTGACATACCTGTAACAATTGGGATGGCATAAAAGCTCCAAAAGCTGGGTCATCACAGTCTAGACGTAAGCCTGCCAGATCAGAAAGTATGCCTGAATTCCCTTGAGCTTGTTCGGGTTCTAAGCAACTTGTATCAATCAGGTTTAGAGAAGCATCCTGCTGCTGCAATTCTTCTATGGACGGCTGATTTTTAGATTCGTTGTTGCTTTTGGGTATGTCAGTATTGTTGGTACTATTTTCTGGTTTTTCATCTTTATATTCATCCTAGAAATTATGAATAAAAATCATATAAATTATAGGGCAATATATATATATAAAATTAATGGCCCTGGCTGATTCATCAACATAGAGCTTTAACAATCTTGAAATTTTGGCAGCTCATGCTTTTTATGTTGTTAGCACCCACCAAGAAAGGATTCTTGGAAATTTCAGCGCTAAGAGGGTAAAAAACGGGATGAACATAGTATGGAAGTTTGTAATTTTTTCGTCAGTTAGAAACACAAAATAAAAAATAATAATTAGATGTATAAGTATGGTTATTATAGCACATGCCTTTTTAGTAGCCATACTATTGTTTGAAACCATGTTAATAATCCTAAGTGGAACATTTGATTCAGTTGTTCCTTAAACATATAACAAAGAACTGCAAAATAAAACTAAATTCAAAATTTAGTTAGTGTGTTATAAAAAATATATAAAAGAAAATATAATGATATATTGCGATGTCCATAATGAACTTATATGTTTAATAAATTTTAAGTTTTATGAATTTAATAAATGAATTTGTGCTGATGACAAGTACATCTAGATGAAGAAATGAATAATTTCCCTAAATAAGGGACCTCTTTCCACTTCTTAAGGCATGTAGAGCACCACTCACACAACTACCTGCAGGTATTCCTTAGCAACATATATTCTACACATTATTTTAAAATGACAATTACAAAACTATCAACTTATACTTATTTGCATTTTACCTGGAAAAATAACATTTGATCCTTATCCTGTGGTGGAACATCTTGCTTATTGTCACCCTCATCTAAGCTTTGTGATAATTCTTTTAGAATGCAGAACTCATACTGAGGTGTTGCATTCATGGTGTCAGCTGTAGCAACTAATGTTTGTGATACTTTTGTGGCAAATGTCACAAAGGATGACTGGTAGTTAGAGAGGACATGGGAAAACATGTTGCATCTTGCTGCAGCTAGTAGATCAATCTGTAATTAGATATTTTAAGTCACAAAATAACTTTGGTGAGGTACAGGTAGGTGGTTAAAGCCAACCTATAAATTGTATTTAATATTTGTGACTTAAATTATATAGTATAGTATGTTAAATTTTTTAGTATTTATAGTATGTAGTATTTTCACTTAAATTTTTGAAACTGACTAAATTACGGTTGCACCACTAAGCCCTTTCTTTGTGCTGCACCCCAAATTTGTCTATCTCCTGTTTGTGGAAGACAAGCAGTCTTAAGATTATATGTAGAGCTATAGTAAATCCAAAAAAACTTAAAATTGAGAAACTAGAGAAATATTTGTGAATTGTTCACTTTTACAGACATATTAAAATATGAGTAAGTAACTTCTACTTCTACGGTTATGGAAGAGTACAGAACTTAAATAGATAACAATAAGAACAGCTGAATGTCATTGTTAACTTGTAATCCGACATATCATGCTAACTAAGTGTCATACTATACATTTTTTAATCAATGGCAGTAAGTACATTATTTACAAATGAACAATTTTATTTGAATTTTGTTTTTACAAAATAAATTATATGAGATCTTCACCTTCTGCAAAACATCAAGTGTTAATTTATCAAACAACTTTTTGCTCTCGCGTACTTGCCGCTGGGCTTTTCGGAAGTTATCAAGGCCACGTCCCGTATCAGGATCTAGTTGCGCGCTTGTCGACTTCATCCAACTCAACGCCGCACGGTATTCAATACGAGCCTTCTCCATAGCAGACACAGTAGCCCGCATATCACTTACAGCGCGACCCCGAAACGTCTCAACTTCATGATAAAGCCTCAACAATGGGCCTCTCACCGATAATCGCTGCTGGCCGGAATATGAAATCGCTTTTCCTGCAGAAACCATGTGTTTACCAGAAGCATCGGAATTTTTTCCAGCATCTCTTAAAAATTTACCTAAAGCGTTTTCTTCTTGAGCTAAAATACACAATCTTTCCTGATATTGGTCCAACACTCGCTGTAATTGTAAGCAGCTGTCCGATATGGATCGAAATAATTCCAATTTAGCATCGAGCTCAGCGTCGGAAGCGACAATACATTCATCTTCTTTGGTTCCTAATTTTTTTAATACAGTCTTTTTTGTTACCCAGTACTGGTGCTGCATCATATTTTAAAGCACTAAAACAAAATATTACTGACTTGACTGCCACACAAAATATTATAGAAATTAGAAACTGAAACCAAGATCTCTGTTGACAGTTGACATTTGGGAAATGAAACCTTATATTATATTGCCCGACCAAGAAAAATAAAATATTTTTTTAATTTAAATTAAAATTATTTATAAATATCCTACAAGAGTAAACTGAGTCTAACAGGGGATAATTAACAATTGGATAATTGGTTATTTAATTGGAAAAATTGGAGCTTTGTTGGAGTCTTTGTCAAAGTTATTTTAACTCACGTTTTATTAATCATATCACAGAAATATGTTTACTGGTATTTGTTATATATTAATTGTAACTGATAATTTTTGGATCTTGTATTTAGACTCAAGTAGACTGCGATAATATTGAAGTGTATGCTATGAAATAAGTAATCACAAAAGCACAAGTAATCAATATGAGCATGATGTGGCTGTTATTAGTCCTATAATAGTTGTTAGGGTAAGAAAATTCATAAAAGTAAAACAAATTGAAAAAAGTCCAAGAAATTTATTCTTGTTATGGAATTAATAAATTCATCTAAAACGTTTTAACACAAGCATGGTACCATAAACAAACTCATTAACTTTCAAAATCAAAACGACAACAGACTTTCGAAATTATTGCTATCTGTGCCCATTGCCCATATCATTGTCTATGTTGCGAGTATTTACAACCGGAATGTGGAATGGCCGCCGCGTTTCGCGTTAGTACGAATGTATTGTGTTATCAAATCGTCATAATAATATGTACATTTTTATCCGGTGAGAGTGATCTACTAGTATTAACTTGTGGAAATAAATACAATGTACTGTGCTTCCGATAAAACTATCCCCGGTGTGTCATCATCGCAATCTTCGAAAAACGTCAAAGATGGTAAGTTTGGTTGACATATACTTATTTATTTTGTTATACATTATTAAAATGGTTAAAAATATATGAAATGATTTTAGTTGCGCTCTAGTGGTTTTTAGTTAATTGTGGCATTTCATAATTTAATTGGTTTAGTTTCAAAAGTTTGAGACTACTTTTACAAGTTATGAAATTAACAAAAGAGTATAAATCCAAACTTAATTTATTATTTATGGGTTCGGTATTTAAAGATTTCTTCCGATTTTTTGTGATTAGACGTTTAGAATAATCATTTTGTGTGCCAGATGTAAGTTTCTAAGTAAGGTCGTTACCCATCAGTTTCTTGCAGGCTAGACTTTCAAATTAACGCACGCGATTAACGACCGATTCTCATTTGAAGATTTAGGTCAGAATAGAACAAAAACTGGTTTCCTTTTCATATCAAGCGTGTTTGCAAAATACTGTTGTGTATGTAATGACCACAGTAGTTGGCACTTAAAAATGACTGCTTAATGATGAATGATTATTTTGTGTGCATATCTCTTATGAAAGTCTTGCTGTTTCTGTATTCTATAAATCAAAAACTAATTCCATGACATTGTATGTATTTGTTCATACAATGTCACGAAATAAAAATGTACAATCTAATAAAGAATGAATATCTGCAATACTCATCAAAGTAACAGTAGGGAAAAAATACACTAGTGTATCTCTAATGTAAGTGGCCAAAATCTGCTTTGCTGATACCTGTTATTGAATGTTGTATGTACACAAACTTCTTATATTAATGCAGTTGTTACTGGGATGACCAAAAAAATTTATTCAAGTAAAATTTTAACTTCTTTATGAATTAATCTTTTTTTAAACTTTCTACTAAATTTATCATTTAAAAATTATAATACCATGAAAATTATTACAACATGTAACATGAATATTTGTAATGATTGGTCAAATGATAACCTTCACAGCTTATCATGTCAGCTAAACTCCAACATTTCATGTGAGCCTGATCCAACATGCATCATGGTGTATTTGCTTTGTATAAAAAAGTCAAATCATGTGAAGTATTTAAAAGTTTTTGGAGTGAATATTGCCACAATATGAGTCATTTTTAAGAATAGATAGTAAATATTTACTCAAAAATGTAAAATACACAATCTTAAATATTTTAATTTAACACAAAGTTAAAAATTATGGGTACACAGTTGTTAAAAAGTCCATCGAGTTACAAAGTCCACCTTATTTTGATTAAACCAAACCAGGGGTGCTTTTGGTTCTAAAGAAGAAATACTTGCAGAATGTTTTGGGCAAAAGAAATATTTCCGAATATAAGAGTAGCTTTTTTATTATTGGCATGATAGTAAAGACCAATCACAACAATTGCTAGAGCTATCTTATTGGTTTGTTTTCATTATGATTAAATATTATTATTATTACCACATTTAGAACTCTATGTACTACTTGTACTTAGAGTTGAAAAGATGTGAAAATCTACCTAGGTTTTTTACTATATAATATTGTATTTGTGTTTCATATATGCTGTTTCATTTTCCTAAATGTGATTGTTGAGAAATTGTCTTTCCACATTATATTTCTATTATCCATTGAATAATTTATTTTATATGTAGATGGTATTTGTGGTAACTCTGAGTTATTTCAAGTCTTCTTCCATGGCCCGTTTTCGTAATCCCTTCGCTCACTATTTCGTGTTTGAATGTCTATGAATATTCCAAATTGAACATTACTGTCCCACTCCACAGTTACTATACGGCTTTACAGGAAAATTTGCTTTCAGCTATTTGTACGAGCGCTATTACACTGGTTTATTTATATCTTGTCTGTGTTAACATTATTCAATAGAAATGTGACATTAAATTTTCCTCAAATTTTATTAACCGTTTTTTAGACGATACTTGTTTACAAGTATCGGGGTCAAGGTCATCGGCGTTGCCTTCGCGTCTCGCGTGTCTTGTCTTATTTATGACATATCGATTTTTATTTGATACTACACGGATGGCGTAGTGGTTTAAGCGGTCGCCACGCCGCTCACTACTACGCTGAGTGTTGTGGGTCCGACACTTGGCGCGACATTTTGTGTGATCCACAAATTGTTGTTCTGAGTCTCGGTGTTTTTTGTGTCCGTTTCATGTATGCTTGTAAAGTCCCTCGCGATACAGGATAAATTCCTAGTGCGTCTTAACAAAAAAACAAAAAAAAAGAGCAACTAATGAGGAATGAGGAAAATACCATATATCAAACATGGTCCCTAACAAAAATCAAGTTAATTAAAGTCATCCTAATGATAAACCAGACACCTGTATAGTCCTTATCGCGCCTAAGGACTCGCAGGCGTGAAAAGGTTCGTGAGATAAACATGTAAAATTAAGTAACTTCAGTTTTTTTTTGTTACTGTGCCATAAAATGAAAACATTTGCGTTACCTACAGTAAAAATATTAGACTTATCAATTTTATTCTGTACAACTTACTATGTATGTAATATAGACTTTCTACTGTTTTACTGCATTTGAAACGTCATACGACCTGCGCCTTCGCGAAGCCTCGAAAAGTAAACTTTTTATATAGTGCCATTCCTTGGACGTTGATCAAATAAATTCTTAGATACTGGACTGCTGACGAATTAATATATGTAAATTAGGTAATACACATGTCAAATCTACGAGATTGTCAAAAAAGAGCCATGTAGAAATAGCATGCTATTCAGTGTTAAGTTTAACTTTTTCACTGTCATACATTTTTCATGCGCTTATCCCTTGCTACTACAAGAATGAAGTGGCTGGCGCAGGAAGTATTATGTTGGACTGAAACGGAGTCGAAATACAAAGTAAGAAGACAGATAGCAATGTTGGCAATAGACATGGGACAAAATCACAGTGAACTAGGATTTATCATTCGATTTTTGCGTAACGTAGGTTAGGGTTACTAGGTAGGTAAGTTTGACGCTATTTAACAGTAAACCTAGTATTTTTTTAATTGTTATGTGGGAAATGGCAGTTATATATAATAAATTAATTAATAGATTTACTGTTAAATGGGCGAAACAGGGTCTTTATGCATCAAAATAGCGTATTGGCAAAAACGCGTGAGTAAGTAGTAACCCTAACCTACGTATGAAAAAATCGAATTATAAATCACCGGTCATTCACAGTTCACTGTGATTTTTTTCCATGTTTAGTTGGCAATTGCTACATTTTTAGACAAGCCAACTTGCAGAACAAAACAGTCGGATGGAAGAGCCACGCTTCGGCACATACGTGGCAGGCTAGACCGGAGTGATACCACGGCATCTTAGAAATTAGTTGTTAAGCAGTTCTTTCGCCTCCCCCCCCTCCCCCCGATATTCTGGGGTAGGTAAAAAAAGGGCGGCACCGCACTTTTAACTCTTAAGTTGCAGGTGTCCATGGGCGACAGAAGTCACTTACCATCAGGTGACCTGTCTGCTCGTTTGCTGCCCTATCAATGATATTTTAAGGAAGATACTATATATTTAGACCCACAAAATATTTGTGCCGTAACCGAACATTAATTTATTAATGCATTTTAGAACTTATTTTAGAATTTATGTTTAACTCTGTTATGAATTTCTTTTATCTTTAATAACCTTTTCTGAAAGTGTACAAATTATGTCATAATTTGGAATACACGGGAAGGCATTTTATAAATTTTCTCGATTTAATTAGTACGTATCCATTGGTCTTAATTAGGACCCTCGCGTTTTGTGCGTTGGCTGCGTATCTACCTCTTGATTAAATATGATATCATTACCCCCTATACCACAAATAAAAGATTGCAAATACTGTTATTTTAATAATTTTCTTATAAACATAAGTCGTCAATAACGCCTTTTGAAATACAAAACATATCAAAATTATAGATCTATATAGAAAGAACTTCCACCCCCATGAACATTAACAAAAGCTTAACGTGCGAGCATACCGATTTTTGTATTCACACAAAACGTATTACTGTAATGCATGTTTACATTATCCACGCACTAATCCCACATGTAATAGCTGTTTAAATAAAAAACAGGTCTATTCGTTCTTATATTTATACTGGTTACAGTGACCATACTAACCTGTTATACTTATATGTACATGCACTTGACGGAGGCACTTAGCGCAATTTAAGACGTCCCAGCCCCTCACCTGATTTGATTGCGGTTTTCTTGACACCTGTCATTCTGTGCACCAGTTGCTGCCGCACTTGCCAAACTTGTACAGCACGAAGGATACAAGTTTCATACTGTTGAAATTTCATACCCCAGAGAGCATGCAGTGGTTGTCCCCATTTAGCAGTTTTTGTTCTCCTTGATTATGTAACCACGTAAAATGAGTAAGGAGGTCTCGAGGGAAATGGTGGGCCGTGTTAACGTTATGTGAAATTAGTAGTTCATATCGTGTTCTCAGTAACTGGAACGTAACGCTTTCTTAATTTTTGACGTCATTTGAAATCATCGACGAAATCTCTTCAAAACTAAAATATTTTATTACATTTTGATATGTTAAGTATTACCTATTCGAGACCTTCGTTCAGCAGTGGTCGGCGATAGGCTGATGAAGCGCTGATGATATTAACACTAAAATATTATTTCGTGTGGTGACGGATTAAGAATACAGTGTGTCACCAGACCTATTCATCCCGTGGGTGTCGTAAGAGCCGACTAAGAGAACAAACTACGCAGAACAACAGCACTGCAGAGAGAAAGAAAACTTGACACAAACCCTATACCAACCCGTCTGGCCAGCGTGGTATAGTAGGCCAAAACCTTCTTTCTAAGGAGAGGCTTATGTCCCGCTGTGGATTATTAAAGGCTATTGATGTGATGTGATGATTATTTAAGATTTCGGTACTTAATGTTATGAAGTCTGTTTTTTTTCTACGCCGCTTAAATATTCATCATCCGGATCAGTCCGAAAACTAGAAGTGCTCATAATAGAGACAATGTACTGAAAACGGGTTTTTTTAGAAAGTTCGATCCTGCTCTGTTAGTTTTCTTTCTTTT